AACACGACAGGGCCCTAAAACCTAAGCCAGTTAAGGAAAAAATAGATGACAGTATTATAGATTGGGTATGTGATCCAGCATTAATAGGACTATTTAAGTGTAAAATGGTTTGTCATAACCTACCTCTGGAGAATTAATATGTTACTATATCAATACATGATAACTTTGAAAGGTAAGGTGTTTCCTTTAATTATGTGACAGTTATAAGGAAACATACTTCACCCACCTCTCAAGTATAGCACCCATTGGGTAGATTAGGCACAGAAGAACGAAATTACAGTACTTCACTTATTGAAAGTAAATTTAAAATGAGCTTTAGGTAGACTGTATTGAGTACGCCCAGGGTGGAATTAGGCCAGTCTATGGCAGTGTCAGTCCTACTCTTGCAATAGTGCCATGTGATCAATAAAGACCAAGTAGTTCAGCGTCTCATCTGAAGGATGGTAACTCCCACAGCACAGTGCCTGGAGACCATACAGGAGCGTGGTTCATTGTTGGTATTTTTGTTCGGGTGAAGAGTGCCACTTACTTGTCCATCAACACCACTGGTTTTTCTTAGGAGATCACCCGTCCAAGTACTGACCAGAGAATTGAAGAGATCAAGCTAGAAACATAAAAGAACAAAACATTTACAAATGAGGGGAGATAATTGATCTCCTCGAGGCAATTCTCGTAAGACGCCAGGGTATCAGTTTCACCAATGTGGATTGATAGCTTTTTCTATACTCCACACTACACGGCTCTCCATTCCAGTCTCCTTTTCAGGTATTGTTTTTTTTTTTTACTTACACCCCCACATAGTACATGAAAATACAATGTTGTTTTTCTTACTCGGGGTCTGCAGTACATCTGTCCATAGAGAGAATATAATCAAGCACCAACAGCCTCCGAGACAGCGATACTTGTGTTTTATGATGTAGTTCTGGATTAATCTCCGCAAAACAGCTTGTCAGATCCCTTCACTTTACTTGTCAGATAGTGGGAAAAGAGTTTCCCAACCTCTGTAGAGGAGTAATTTGAATCACTGTAAATTTCTCAGTTTAAGTGTAGAATTGAATTATGTTTTAACTAAAAAATAACTTAATTCCATGGTTTGCTTCATCCAATTTATTAATATGGAGTATATTTAATGTAGCAAAACATTATTCTCTAGCTCATTCTATGTATGCACCATAACCACAACAGTTAATAAAACACACTTTGCTTGTGTCTTTTAGTACATGTTTCATAAGCAGGTAGAAGATGGTGTGAATTTGTTTTAATACATAAAGGATAATAATATTAGACTTTGAAAATTACATATACAGGTTGTGTCTGCACATTGAATCAACCATGAATACAAACATAAAAATGAAAACTGATTAGAATACTCACAAGTTCAAAAGTGGTGTATATACATTACAAGTCAACTTAGAAGAGAACAGTAGCTCTAGTGTAATCCACCTGGTTGTGTATGAAAATAGGCCTACTGTTTGAACATGAGCAGGAGCCTGAATCTGTGGGACTCCAGTTCATTCCTGGCACAGATCATGTATCTGGGAATCCCAGGCAGAGTGTTGACTTGGGAACTCCAGGAGAATCTGCACATGCCCTACACACTTCATGTTGAAACACTGGCCCAGCTGTAGAAGAACTGTGACAAGACCATTGGTGTTTATCATATGCAAGACTGTTTTATTCCTGTGCGTTCTCCACTCTTCAAAGAACTGCATTTTTAGTTAGCACGTGTTATTTCTTTTCTTCGAGTCTTGGAAAAGATTTTTTTTAAGAAAAAGTACTAACAAAGGAAGGCCATGGTTGTCTCTTTAAGCCTGTCTATCAGCACATCATCAGTACGACAACAGACAAAGGAAGGACTTTGGCTGTTAAACTGAATCATTGTTTCCAACACGTTGCTAATAAGTAGCATTTTTTTTATTGCGGAGGACTCCGTAGTGCGTAATGCTGTTTTTGCCTTGGTTTCTAACAAAAGCCCTGCTAGAGCATATTGGATTACAGACATTGTGTTGAAATAACACAAACAGCAGTCAGTGAAAGCTTTGACTAAAGTGTCAGTCCTCCCACCTTCGATAAATAATTTCCCTTATTTTTCCATTTAGCGGTAAACAGAGGCCTTTAGAAAATCTGTTTCCTCTGTTCCACAAACACCAAACGCTGATAGATTGGCCAGATACTGTAGCTGTGGTGGAGTGGTTAATGCTGAGTGCAGGACATCCTTTGATCTATAGTTCTTTACATTCACATACTGACTTGGAAGTTTTAAGATGAAACCTGATTTACGAGTACAGGAGAACAACTGGGAAACATGAAACGTGTTTTTAAAAACTGCCCTTTCTAAGAAGCGGTTTGACATAGGTTCTGAAGAACTTGTATTTTTGTTTTCAGCTGTTTAAACCATACTGGCACAACAAAATAATATCTTTATGTTCAGCACATACTGTAAGAGCGCAGTGAAAGTACATGAGAGGAATACCAGGAGCATGCCATGGTCATGTATCCAAGATCCAGTGTTTCATACTTACTGTCACAAAAAGATAAAAGAATGTGAATTAAAAGTGTTACATTGGTGGTCAAAACTACATAAAACTAGATCGAAACACTTTGCAGCAAATTGCCGGCATACTGTATAAATCTCATTACCTCCAAGTCATGGGACAGTCTCTGAAGCACCATTGAAGTTTTTAGATTAATGCTTGAATGTGTAATGTGCAGTGACTAAAGGTGCTTACTTTTTAGAGAGGCGTGGACTGCCAGACAGACATTAACAGATAATAGGCGCATACAACCTATACAAAATGATTTTCGATGTTAGAACTAATTGTAAACGGAACAAATAGGGCAAATGAACGGGAGGATTTTTCTGGAATGTGAAAAAAAAAAACAGATTACAGTGAAGAGTCTACGGCGATGATGTGGTGTGTTATTAAACATTATAATTACCTGAAGGTTCTGCATATCGTTCATATAGATACAATCCCTTTGTACGAAATAAACAGAAGCTTTGGATCTGTGCAATCAATGTAAATTTGATAAGAGTACAGGGGAAAGAAGAATACAAAGCCTGTCTCTGATCTCTCTGGGCATAGAATTAACAGTGGTTCTATTGATCCTTTTGAAGAAGTGAGGCATCATTTTACTGCACTGCTGACTGCTCCTTGAGAAAGCACAGTGGCTTAAGAAATGGAGTGTTGAAAAGACTGGAATCCAGTGGAGAATTTAGACTGACCTATTATTCCTTTGTCTCTACCAGCTCCCTGATAAATGTCTTTGGTAAGCATTTAAGTTGCGTTTTAAAGCCATGTGTTTGTCTTTTCTTCAAAAACAGATAGGCATTCCAAACATTGTTCTCTTTGTCAGCCTTCTCATGGCACAGACAGGGAGATTCTGTTGGCAGGTCCAGATCTAGCAACACTAGTTTATTGAAAAACTGTGCTTGGCTGTGCCCATTGTTCCCTAGGCAAGTGCTTACAAACTTAATTAAATGAAAATAGCCTAATATTTTCTCTCCTAATATTAGTGAATAATTTCAGTAGTGCGTTTCAAAAGCTCGAGGAAGATAAGTGAAACTATCCCGACAGACTTAAACGAAACTGCAGAAAAAATAAGCCGTGTCACCTCATGATAGACAACATAGCTATAGAATGACATCTCAACATCTACAGTAGGACTGATTTTGTCTTTGCTGAGGCACTGTTGTAAAGCCAGTCTCGTCAGTGGCTTTGTGTTGGTGCTCTAGGAATTAAAGCCTTAACTCTTTTTATTGTATATTTCAGAGACCTGTAGCCCCTGTTATTGCTGCCATTTAAAACAGCAGCAGCAACTTTTCAGACTGTTACAAAACTAGATTAGAAAAACTTCTCAATCTGTGCAGGTTAATGGTCTCATAATGAGAAAATGAAGCAGGTGGATTTTGTCCACTGCATTAGTTCTGTGAAGACTTAAAGTCTCCTTGGACTGAGGGGAAAATTGTTTTTACCAATGGTAATGTTACTGCATGCGATCTTCCAGTGACTTCTGTCCAGGAATCCTTTTCCTCAAAGGCTACAAATTTAGCTAAGACTGTCCCTGAAGCTACTTATAACTGAACTGGCCTAACTTTATGACTCCAAAAAAGAGCATGTTTCAGGTATGAGGAATGTAAATTCTGACTGCAGCTCCAGGGCAGGCCTGCAGTGCAACTCTGCTGCTCTCGTTATTTATGCTCTCCTCTGGGTAGAAAAGCAAGTGAGCTGACCTCAGCTGCACATAATTGAACCACAAAGAGTGGAAAAACACAGATCGAAGCAGTAAGTTAAATGAAGTAGTTCAAATGCGAGATGAGTGCAGATTTTAGCATGGTACTAGTATTAGTATTTGCACAGTTTAAGTGGACAAGGTCGTTCAGAAAAGGACTGAGTCTCCTGCACATTGTGTATTAAAATATACTTATTAAGGGACCTCCTCTGAGTTTACTGAGACCATGTATCTTTGTTAAGGTGTTCTGATGAATTCAGTAATTTTTCCAGTGTCCATATGTGTAACTGTATGTAAAAGACTTAAATCAAACCTTGGGGAAGCATATGACTAAGTTAGAAATTCAACTATAACCAGTGGGAATCGAGGTGATTACACTCCAGCAGCTAAAAGATAGATTCACTTAAGAGGTTGTATTTGCAATTCCAGATGCAGGCTGAGTGCTTTATGGGAAGGATTCTGTAACAGACAATTATGTCGGACAACCAGATGAGGGGATGGAAAGTACCTCATTTCCTGCAACCCTCATTTTGTCAGCCTCTTCTGACAAAAGTACATTCAAAAGTACAAAATTGCACCTCCCACTTCTCTCCTAAAACACTTCAGTGAAAATAAAATGCACTTCTTTCCCTGTTTGGTTTAAAACATTTTTCATTAAATGACAGATGCTTAAATTATGTTTTTCAGGTGTTACCAGCTGATCCATGCTGAATCAGTGAGAAACTAGGGAGTCTCAGCGTTTAAGGAAATGTTTCTTTGTTTTGCAGGTGAGACATCGCTGGTGTGAGCTAATTATTAAGCACAAACATACTGCAGCGTACAGAGATGTGGAACATTTTCTAATGCAAGACCAGGTACAACACCAGTTAATTTTTGTTTCTTTCTGTGATTTTTCTAAGATGAGTTTTATGGCATTTTGCGGCACAAAATACAGGATTAACTGAAGCAGACCACACTAGAAGGCATGGTGGCTTGTTCTTACTGATCTCTGTTGCTGAGCGATTTTTGTGATTGGTTAGTGTTGAATGTGTTTGGGATTGCAATGTGGTGTTTGTTGTTCATTGTTATGTGTAAGGGCATAATAAGTAGTTTTATAGGGCAATGAGGTAGATTAAAAAGAGAGACTTATGGGAAACATCCTTATTTTCTTCAGGCTTTTAGGAGCTGTGTGTCAGGGCTCAGGTAGACCTGTGTTGAAATTGTCACTATCGTGTACTGTATGTTCCACGTTACTGCATTTTCAGCCGTATTCGATCAAGTAATCAACCAAAGAATTGGCGAACAATTTAGTGTAGCCAATCAAATCTAAACTTCCTGTCTTTGGGAGGTGGGAGGAAACCAGAATGGCTGGAGATAACCTACACAGATCGAACCCAGGACCCAAGGTGGACCCAGGACCCATGAAACAGCAATGTTGCCCACCTATGACCACATATGTGTGTGGATAATCCCTGGTGACATCTTTTTGTAATATACTTACAATACATGAAAATAACCAATATATGTAATGGTTAGCCTGTATCAGAAGTCTTTTTTCACTGTTATGCAACAAAAAAAGGAGTTAGTATGTCACTTAAGTGAAATTTAAGTGACATCATGACATTTTGCACATTTTTGTAAAAGCTCAGAAATTCAATACTGAGTACAGTGGGTCTGCCAAATAATGGATAGAAAGCCTATCTTTGTATCAGTGATCTGGATTCTAGCATACTTAGTAAACTATTCAAATTTGCAGGTGACACCAAAGTAGAAGGAATAAAGGACATTGTGGAAGCGGAAAAGGACATTCAAAAAGAACCTGAGAATTTTCTAGATTGCATACACACCAGGCAAAAGACTTTAATGAAGATAAGTGCACTTCAGAGTGCTATATGCAAGTGGCACACAGAAAAAAAAGCAAATGTAAGATGGAAAACAGAACTTTAAGAAACTTTCTGTGAAAAATATTTTAATTGTTTGTGCTGACATCATTTACTGTACATCTTGCAGACAATGTAAGGAGGCAAAAAAGAAGGCAAACACGAATTAGGATTTATACAGTAGTTTGAAGTGTGGATGTTGTGTACTGTAACTGCACTGGAAATGCACTGTTTTGTACTATTTTGGTTACCATGTAAGAGAAAAATGATATTTATCTTCAATCAGCCCAGATTAGAATGATTTGATTCTGGGGTTAATAGAAAGACGATTCCTTTTATCTTAGAATAGAGGAGTGACCTGATTCAACTATTCAAAATCATCCAAGGCACTGGCAAACAGAGTTTCAACTAAAGACTGAAGAAGATCTTAAAGAATTGAAGACAATTTCTTTAGACTCAATGCTGTGGCAGTCTGGAACAAGTTACTCAGCCCTGTTGTCTAAACCCATAACCTGCCTTCTTTCACGAAACAGCTATAATTTACTAACAGAAAAATGAGCTACGTTTCATGGAACGAATGGTCTCTTCCTTCTTTGCAACCTTTTGTACTGTATGTTTTAAATCTTACACTCTGTCCTTTATCATTAATCATAATGGAAAATGTACATACAGTAGCTGGTGGCTGGTCTTTTGGGATACATTATGGAAGATCACGGAATAACAGTTTGAAACTCTCCACATCTTGTTATACTTTGCAAACTCAGAAGTGATGGAAGTAAATTTGTAAAACATTGCCTTCCGGTGTCCTTCATGGCGCAGATACATTTTCAGATTTCAAAACCTCACATCGTTTTTCATGATGGCATTTAGTGCATGTGATATTTCTGCACTGTTTCATTGTCGCCCCATTCCAAATTATTAATGATTTGCAAGAGCACGGCTTATCAACAACTGCAGACATCCCTTCTTCCTTCTTAGCTGGGAGATAAGGACATGATTTAAACCTCAAAGTAACTCATGCTACTAGAAATTTAGATATGGGAGCTGAGCACCTTAGTAGACTAGATGGCTAGGTTATAATCTGACCATATATCTTGCAGATAAAAGCTTTACTACCTTTTCATATATATTGTAGCATGTCAGCTGCGTTCATTATGGTGTTGTGTGTTTGGGGGGGTACTCACCTCTTAATTTATATCACTTGTTGATGCAAGTATTTCTACAGCTTGGTATTATTTAATAAGTTTACCGTTTAAAAATAGAAACAATAAGCTTAACATACCTTTCTGTTTTGTGTGCACAGGCTATAAAAACTTAAGAAGTCTAAATACTCACAGGGTCAAGAATGCATCTAAAGCAGGCTAGTAAGCATTAAGATGAATTTAATTTTCAACACATACAGTATAATAGAATTTAAATTAACAACGCATTGCATATTTTTTTAACTAAAACAGCAAATATGTGTCACTAATTAAGTATACTGCAGGATTGGAATAAGGGTACTTTTATATGGGTTATTTTGTTTCACAAAGTAAAAAAAAAATCTTTATTGATTTTTTCATTTTGTACAGGAATCCCCAAAACTGCATCCCAATTTATAATTAATGTTTATACTCTTTATACATATCAATGGCATTTAGAATTTTTCATTGGTCTTTTTTATAAATCCACCTTTGAGTATGCTGTTCATTTTCTTAAACATATGTCATAGTAAAATTGACCAAACAGACACATTCCAGTTCAGATTGTGAGCATTCTAAGATTACCTCCAGAAAAAAATGATCTGCAATTTAAGTAAACCAGTAGTGGTTTTCCATCCAAGATATATTTGATCCCTATTAGTTCACCTTATTTTTTCACATCTGTGGGAACTTTATACCACTAACTTTTGACATTCTTATTTATATCATAGGTTTGTTGTTCATATTCACATGGTGTCCCTTCTTGAATTTGGCCAAGAAAAAGCAAAAGGTTGCTTACTTTGTTTTGTGACAAGACGTGAAAGAGAGCAGTGGTTTTTCCATCCAATATACTGTACCGAGGCTGTTGTATTCTGTTGCAAATGTTCAGTGGACTGTGGTCCAGTTTTCACCAAGTTGATGGTGTGCGTTTCTCTTCCAGGCTATGGGGGTCTATTTGTATGGGGAGCTGATGGTCCATGAGGACATTCGACAGCAGTGTGTGGCTCGAAAGTGCTTCTCTCTAGCACAAGAGGAAATGGACCCTGCCTCAAGGAAAGTGGTGGAAGAGATGATATTCTGAGCAGGTATTTCAGGAGGTATTTGATCCCTATTAATTCACTTTGTGGGAACTTTATACCATTAATTTGTGAAGTTATTATCAATGTCATAGGTCTGTATACTCACGCAGTGTTGCTTTTTGTATTTGGCCAAGAAAAAAGCATAAGGCTTTTTACTTTCTTTTGTGACATGGCTTGAAAGAGCTAACAGGTAACTTAGCCTTCACCATTGCAGTCTTTGGGTCTTCCATTATCCCATAACTTGGCTTCTTTTCACATTTTCTACACCTTTGTTTTCTCAGTTTCCTCAATGGTATGTCTGCTTTTTATGTTAATCCCAATCAACAGCCAATTTCCCCTCGTTGCATAAATTCTTATCTACCAGAGTAATAATGCCTTTGTATTTCATCATCCCTATGTCATGACACTAAAAGCACCTGCTTCAGGGGGTGGGGATTCTCTTGCAGTGTATAAATTACTGCTGATTACTGTTCTGGACCAGAGGCACTAGATTAAAAAAAAGACTGTAATAAAAATACATGGGATGTGCATAAAAACAACTGCTGTCTTGTCAGTACAACTTTTACCACTACCACAGTTCATACAACACCTAATTCGAGTGAGATATGGTAAAACTAAAGTTTAGTCTAACAGATTATATACAGTAGTTTTTGAGATGTTTCACATACTGTATAATGAGGGTTATTGGATTAATATGTGGACTCCAAGAGAAGGTTATGGTTCCTTCCTATAACAAACGTTTTTGGTGATATCTTTTAAAAAAAATACAAAAACAACAGAAAAAGAAATAATCTATTTTAATGTATCTATTTTCAAGCAGTAACTTCTCATTGTCAAATAGAAAATCCTTGCTGATATAAACATAACAGTGGAGAGAAACATCTTTCTAGCTTTGTTACAACACTTAAAAATACATAGTCCGTACACTAAACAGGAAATGTAATTTGTAACTTGTACAAATGTGGCTCCACCTTACTGTTTCTTGCATAAAAATGACAAATATTTTCCCACTGAAGGAGCAGAGAAGATCCTTTATGCTGTAAAGTAACCTTCCAGTTGTCTATTGCATGTTAAACATAAATTCAGTTAACTCTGGTTTACAGATGTCCTCCTGTATACTGTAGCATACGTCAGAGTTTGCACTAAAGAAGCACCCATTCTCCTGGCCCTGATGCTTGATTGTTCATCCTGCTGGACAGCAAGACTGTATTTGCATGAACATGGTTCCACACGTATAGGCCTGTGTAGGAGCACTGTTTATAACAGAATGACTCGTTGTACATGCTGAATTGAACTGGTACCTATTAGTCTTATTTTAATGATTTCTGATTTTAACAAATCAGTAAACATGTTCATACACCTTCTTGGTATTAAACAGAAAGCAAGTAAAAGCTAGCTGGTTAGCTCTAAACCTTGCTTTTACTGGTGTGCATTTTCTTACAGACAGCCTTGCAGTGGCTAATTTGCTTTAAAATTTCTTCACACAGCACAAAGAATGTGCTTTGCGGTTTTATGGAAAACCTGCGACATTTGTTTGTGAAAAAGAAGGAATGTGAAACATGTGCATCAAACAGATGTAGAGCAGGGGTCAGAAAATGTTTAAACGGATTCACTTGAAAAACAGAACATTTGCCGTTTTCATTCTGCATGTGATCTAGGCGGCCTTCCTCATTGCTCTGTTTGTCCTGTGTCTGATTGGCCAGCAGCCATATCACCCTGCAACTCACAGCTGCCAGCCCACTGAAGCTAAGCAGGTGTGAGCCTGGTCAGTACCTGGATGGGAGACCTCCTGGGAAAAACTTAGGTTGCTGCTGGAAGAGGCGTTAGTGGGGCCAGCAGGGGGCGCTCACCCTGCTGCTCATGTGGGTCCTAATGCCCCAGTGTAGTGACGGGGACACTATACTGTAAACAGGCGCCGTCCTTCGGATGAGACGTAAAACCGAGGTCCTGACTCTCTGTGGTCATTAAAAATCCCAGGGTGTTTCTCGAAAAGAGTAGGGGTGTAACCCTGGCATCCTGGCCAAATTTCCCCATCGGCTGTTATCAATCCTCCTAACAATCCCCCTCTGTGAATTGGCTTCATTACTCTGCTCTCCTCCCCACTGATAGCTGATGTGTGGTGAGCGTTCTGGCGCACTATGGCTGCTGTCGCATCATCCAGGTGGATGCTGCACATTGGTGGTGGTGGAGGGGAGTCCCCATTACCTGTAAAGCGCTTTGAGTGGAGTGTCCAGAAAAAGCCTATATAAGTGTAAGCAATTATTATTATTATTATTATTGTGACTGTCCTGAAATGCCACATATAAACTGTGCTCCTCACCTTCAAAAGAAATGGGATCTGGGCAGCTTTAACTTTAGAACTGAATCAGATTTATTTCCGGTGTAAAGCAAAGTAAATAACGCAAAAGAGCCAGCTATGACTGGACCATAATGCTATTTGTCCTTTTTTTAAACACAGTGGGGAAGTGGGGAAAAGGAAATATTCTTGTTGGAATCCAAAAAAAATTCTTGACATGTCCACGTGGCACGTTTTGTTAGAAACTATGAAAATATGGTTCCCATCAGATTCACTTTGCAGGTGACTGGGAAGTGAAATTCCTATTTCCTGCTTATAAAACAAGGTTTGTATGACCAGTAATACTTCTTAGAACATAGCTTTATGTTACTCTATGTAGAGAACACAAGGCCAAATTTAAACATAAATATCTAAATGAGCCTAAATATAGATATAGCATACATAGATTAAATATATTAATCAGCCTTAAATAATATCAGAACACTGCTTGGCACTTATTCGTTCAGGCTGAATTTTAGAGGTTTTTGTGATTCATTTTCATTTCATGCAATAGGAGACAGTGACTGGATGTTAATAGAGATCATGCCCCATTTTAATGCCTCTACGTCTGTTAGAGAAGAAAATACTGTGTGTCAGTGGTACAGCAAAAGCGTTTTTTTTCTTACTTTGTTTTTGGACCCTTTCCCAATCTTGGAGCCATGGTTAATGAGGGAAATATCCCCTGTTTAGTAGAGCGTGGAGAATTTGGGGAGAGAGGATCTGCAGGTTTCCTTTCATGTTGTGGCTGTGTGGGTTCCTGGCATGCTGATTTGTGACTTAAGATAAAATCACATTGCCAGGGATTACCACACAGCCACGGCCTTGGCGGCTGTTATGGAAACCAGAGGGGCTCCCAACAAACGCGAGCGTTTCAAAAACGGGACTGTTGGGCCGGGCCGTCCTGAGAAACGCACGAACGGGCGCAGTCTTCCTGATGCCGTTTCTCTGTGGGGCTGAGAAAATGACCTCTCCATCAAGGTGCAGAGCTTAGCTGATTGGTGAACAGTGATTGATTACTTCTTTGTTCACAGTGGCTAAGTTCTGCACCTGAAGAGAGGGTGAGAATTAAGCCAGGTCCCGGCTCTTCCCTCTTACTGAAAACAGAAAGAAACCAGCTGTCGCAGGGAAAGCGTCTCTGGCCTTGGAGGTTTATGTGCTTCCTCTCTGGATTTGTTTAAAAGTTTGACAGTATAAATCTTGGTGATTGGGAGGGGGGGGTTCAACAACTGAATCTGAAACAGCTCACTACAATGAGAAACAGTTGTTTCGTTACTGTTTCACAAGTATGTGATACAGGTGCGCCACAGGAATGAATTTCCTTTCATCTGATTTTTGTATTGAAGACACCTCTACAGCAGTTTTTCCTTCCTGCATTATGCTTCTTTGTATTTCTTTAAAATATCATCTTATCTACCTTGTGCTTTTATTTTTAAAACTTGCAGCTTTCTTTTTGCCCCATAGGTTTGTAACCTTTTTTACAAATTCATTTGTATGGTATCTGTTAAGACATTACAGCATCTCTTATAGAGCTGAGAAATGGTAATGGCGAAAAGAGTTCAGTTCACAGTCTTGTGCCATACCACATCTAAAGTGACTTAAATGGGTCCTAGATGTTTCACTCAAATGAAGATCTGAATAAGCAGTTAATCTTAAGTGAATAAGAGCAGTTTAACACTAGTTTATTCATCCTGATCAGCTGTGAAAGTGCTGTACCATTGTTCCATTCGGCCTCTAAATGTACAGGTGGCGCTTGTACAATGTAATTCAGTTACAAGCAGGGGGGATTCAATGATAAGATTATTTTGTGTTCGGCCAGGATGTAAAGCTATATTACATTTTGATTCTTCTTCTGGAATGGGCTTTGTAGGAAAGGTTACCAACGAGTTGAGCCCATTCCACCAATGTAGGCCTTTTCGAGGTTAGTGGCCAGCTGTTCCAAGGATTCATGAAAAAACCTGGGGTATCAGCTTCAGTAACATGGGTGGATGGTTCACACAACCACTGATGTGAAGAAGCGACTCCTCTTTCCGATTTTAATTGTGTTGTTCTCATGAACTGAATGCAGTGTGGGCTATGTGAACGTTAATAAAACTTAAATATCGATATCCTGCTTAGGAAATGTTATTTAATGAATGTAGAACTCTTGGTTGCATTAGGCTAGATTTATCACTGTAACTCTTCTCAATATAAACACTCACTCTTTCAAGACACTCAGATCTTTACAGCAGTAATGAAAATGTTATATTATGTTCATCTATGTCATGAGGGGTAGCAGTACTTAAACCTGAACTCTGCTCTGAACTCCACCCTCATGGTCGAAATTTGGTCGAGTGATTGAGTTAACAGTTTCTGAAATACATCTAACATGAATTATCATAAACTGATAGATTCAACTGAAAAATACATTTTCATCTGAGGTATTTAATCCATTAGATATTGGACCTTTGTCTTCTTTTTGATTGAATGCAGTGAATGCTGCATGCCGGGGTAATGAAAGATACTGTAGATATTGAAAGCAGACCAGGTCGCCAGCCTATGCCTCTTACATGTCTGTGAAGGATGGAATCACATTACCTCTTCTGTTTCTGTTCTATCTCCCACTTGTGCAAAAAAAAAAACCCACCTCAGTCCCTTATATCACTATACTGTATCTACTGTACAATGAACTTAATGTACTCGCAGGAGTGTAAGGCAGAGTTCCCAGGAAATTGAAAATGACCGTGTATCCATAATTGGAATGCTATTATGACAAACTGCAAGCTAATATTTTGTATAGTGGAATACAGACCACTATTTCAAAAAGACTGATTCTCCAAGTGTCCAGAGCTAATCTTTTATGTTGGTGTTAGAAACATTCTTAAAGACCATCACTGTAAAACGCTCTCATTTTTCAACTCTGACAATAAACAACACACAGGCTAAAGTCTTTTGAAATGTGTGGTAGTAAAGTTCTTCTGATGTTGTATAGACAGCATATATAGTAGAGGCACCAAAATAATTGAAATGCATCAATGTGATGGTTTGGGTGAACAGTTTACGTGGCAAGGCAACTGTGCTACTGAACAGAAATGTGAAAATAATAAAGCTGATGGGATTTCCAACCTGTTGGCCTGTGAAGGGAACTTTCTTGAAAAAAACATTTGCATATGACAGTAAAACATCTTTTATGTCCTTATTTTTTATGTGAATCAGTTCATGGGGATTCTTCCATTCTTAATTGAATTTAAGTAGATATCTCAAGGCAATACTGTACTTTCAAGGTATTTCCCTTATCTAAAAAGAAATGCCATTTTAATCAGAAACAAAATGACACAAATTTCTGTTATTCAACACTTCATCTATGCTGAGATACCTTAAGAATTCAGTAACAAATTCCAGAGGCTTCAGTTTCAGATTAATTTTTAGGAACATTCTTACACAACTGACATGAGGGTAACACTGTACTGGTGTCTCAAACAAGCACCGAGCTTAGGAATGTCAGAGAAAACAGAGAAGGCAATGGTGTGTCTCGGCAGGAGTTTGAAGTGTCTGGTAAACAATACAATTCTCTGACAGTGTAATGTGCCTGAAATTACATCACTGCAGATTACTGAAGCAACACGTACATTAGCTCTAATCTTATATATTTAAGCTGCCAGTTATTTCCGGCTCGTACTTTTCATTTAGCCACCCCTGCCTTTGCCTTGAGGCGCCGCAGGTAGATTTAGCACTTTAGCCCACAAGACCAATTTTCTCCCACATCAATTTAGTTTGTGACAAAACGTCTGAAGTATAGCCTCAGGTTTTCTGACAAGATCACATTTAGAACACAGGTGAGAGTTTTATTACCTAAAAGGAATTTTTGGGACGAGGAAGCACGCTTTATTTCTTCAGCTATCTCTTGTAGTGCTTTTGTGCAATTACTGTATATATGTTACAGGATATTGTCAAGGTATTCATTCAAGTCACAACACAAACCATTTAAGGAAACCTGAAAAAGGAAATTTACCAATAAAGAATGTTTCAGTAGTCTCCAAATGAAGATTTTGGCTGCTTGGTATAGACAGTGAGTTCCCAAGTTATACAAACCTTATACAATACTGTTATAGTGGAGTCACTGCTTCTCTATCTTCAATACCAAGTGTTGTGGTTTTCTTGAATATCATTCATGAATGTGCATTGTTTTTTGGATCAAGGTCTATGGTGCTGTGATATTTAGATTAGGCAAAAGTGCAACAAATGTTTTACTTGAAATATGCTTCATATCATTTATTACCTCCTTTTCTTCAGTACATTCTGGATATTTTTAGTACTTCTTCTCAGAGCTGGAAGAAGGTTTAAAAACAGTTGGGAGTAAAAGAAGATTTAACCAGATCTTCTGTGTAACCAGCTTCAGTCATAGTAGCCCTGTCCAAATATACTGCTAAGAACCCTCAGATGTCTAAACTACAAAGATCCAGTAGGAATTTGGCTCAACACATTACTAATTAAAGCTGGGTGAAGTCACATTAGATTGACCATCAAAATCTTCCCTATGATTTATTACTTGATCGTCTGAAAAAATGCTGGAAGAACAAGGGCATATAACTTCAAAATAATCATATTAAGGAAATAGCAAATTTACTTAATAATTATGTATTCCTAGAAGAGTCATGTCTAAATGAAAAGGAAAGCTTATTTGTGAGCTGCAGTTGATGGTATAAAGCATGTCTCATAAAACTATCTGCCTTTTATGGATTTAAATGCAACATTAAATGTGTAGGAAAGACTGTACCTCAGTAACACTGGCAGTTAAAGAACAGTTGAAGCTTTTATTACGGCACTAACTGTTGTCTACAATCTGCTTTTGTCCATAATTACACAATCCAAAAACTCCCAATTACAGTATACATTTTCAAAATACTGTCAAACCCAGTAAAATCAAATTACTTTCTCCACATAGTATTAGTAATATATTGTTTTATATGCAAATATAATTCTGAAGCCTCCATAACTGGTGGAATAAAAACCCTATCATGCCATATCGACAACATTAATAAAATAATTAATTAATTAAAATATCCCCCTATTTCCTGAATGTTCAATGTTAATGATGCTTCACAGCAAAAAAATGTGACTAGTGACAGGGGGATAAAATCGGCTCGAGTCAGAAGGATGGACCCTTCAATATTTGAAGGCCAGAATGTCTGTTTCCATGTTATGTTTTGTTGTTTTAGCTGTTTTGTAAAAATGTCTGCAGTGAGGCCACACGGTTGGTGAAGGTAACAGCTCTTATGGACCTGGCCTCCTGTGCCTACTGAGCTGATAACAGTTCTAATTGTACACACTGGCTCAGTTCAGCAGGAACAGGAGTCTGGCCCCACAGCCAAATCGAGGAAGCAAAGGTATTGTTCAGCTAGCCTTATCCTTTTTTTTAACAAGTCTGACCAGATACTAATTTCATTTTTTAAGTACATGGGACATTATTCTTTATATGTAACATTTTACCTTTAAAAGTCAAGAACATACTCTGTCATGAGTTTTTTTGAGGGCTGGGGTTGTTTTTCACATCTATACAGTATGTGCATATAAATCTATCTTGGTATTACATGTAATATTCAACTGTGAATTAAAAATATCGAAGTTTGTCTATTGGCAATTAAGCTTTCTAGTGAATTAACTGAAGAGAAGAATATGAAGACTTGCTGTACTGTAATAAAGCTGTTAAGACTTCTACGACGTGTGTCTGTATCATTATACAGTATGCTATAAATTCATGTCTAATTTAGAAACAGACATCTCCAGCTATGCAGGATGGGTGTGAGAGACGATGGGTGTGTACAGTATCTCTTTTGCAGATTCACAGCACACAAAACTCTTGGAAGCTCCTTGATTTAGTGCTGTGGGCAAATTAAATTATTGCCTGTAGATAAAACAATCCCTGCTCACGCCATTCATTTCTAACTCCTCATCTTTTCTAGGACCTCGGTATGACGATGCACATCAAGGCAAACCAAAGGAACAGCTCCGCTGCCTCTAGAGCTCTCGATCTCTTTCTCATTTCACTGTGACCCTGCCACAGTACTTTTTGGGACCTCATCTCGATAAAGAATTGCTGCATTGTAACAATAAAAATGAAGAAGGGACAGACTTCTCCAAGAAAAACGAATTCTACCAAGAACCGAACACAAGTCTGGGGGTTTGTATGGTTAAAAAAAATGACCTGCATTCTTTTCACATTGAAATGTGATTGGCTTTTTACTGTTTTTTTTTTCCTTCAGAATCGTTGTTCCCTTTTAGCAATGTATCAGAACTTTGTGCTTCATATAGAGATGAGTCAACTGACAGGCAAATGAAATCTGTACAGAAGAATCAAGTCGGAGAGTTAAGTTACTATAAATAAAAGTACAATCAAGTAGCTCCAACTGAAAAGTGATTTTAACTTTCCTCAGTGTAAATAATAAATGCAGTTTCCATGCATTTTCTGAAGACAATACAGTGTATCATTCAGGAGAATAACTTGAATACTGCTAGAAGAAATGTTTTGTAATGAAACTTGAAAACATGTAGTTGCAACTTTCTGGTTTGCAAAAGGACACCGGCAATAAAAATCCTTAAATAGTTTTCAGTTGTCATTTTTCTTTGGATGAAAAAATATCATGGACTATTTTAACCCGGGTACAAAAATCCACACAAAAGTGCACAAGTGGCCGAAAAGGCCATTACGTTCTATGTGAGGTCTGGCCTACATCTGAACGTTAGTAAAAGACACTTTCGGACTTAAAAAGTTTTTTTTTTTTGTCCAGAGCTTAAGTTAGATGCCAAAGCCTATAAATCAGCAATATAAATATAAGCGATTTGCACAGGCTGGCTGAGTCAGTCTAAAAGAATGTGGATGCAGATGGCTGATCTCAAAGCTGTTCTTAGCTTCAGCCACTGTACAGACATGTCATATAAAGCAGTAGAACAATTCCTACCACTTTGGACCTGCTTCAAGCAAGGTGTTTTTATTGCTTTTCAGCAGTCATGTACTGAGGAAGAAAACAAGTAGAATGGGTGTAAATTAAATTTTAGACAAGTTAACAAAATCGATGAGCAAGAAGTATGAAGAGGTCAGTAAAATCAATGTAATTAAAACCTTACTTCCACATACACAAGTAATGTAAGCAATAAAAATGTGGAAGACAAGACTAGGCACAAAGAGAATTAGATTAATAGCTGCATGGGTGAAAGCAGCTACTGTACATCAATACATTTTATTCTCTGAGTCACAATTAGGTGTGCTGTTGAGTATAACCAGTGTCTGTCAGTTATTTCAATGTTTTTACATCCTATAACTTATTGTAAGGTACAGTATGCCTTATACAGCATTCCCAAAATGTAAAGGGTGTCACTGAATACAAAACAAAAACAAGGAAATGAGAGGCGTTTGAAGTACAGAGTACACTTTTGCCAGGAGTATGTCACATTTTGCACATTACACATGTATGCACAAGACCTGATATAAGAATTCACAACGAGCAAAGGCAGCTTTAAATCTAAAACTTTAAATGTTTTAATAAATTTATAGACAGTTTCACAAAAAGTGCTAAGCCAAGTAACTGAAGTCTCTTTTTAACTGGGACGGTTTAGTAGTCTTCTTCAGAGATCACATTCGTGCCATAAAAGAGCTCTTGGAATATCAATGTGTGGTTCAGCTTCGGCACAGCTTGGCAAGAAGTGTGGAATACACTTTAAAACAAATCAGAGGTAAATTAGCATCGATATACTGTCTTTGGAAAAGATTATCATGAGGAATACCTCACCTCTGTTTCTTTGACTTATCTGTTTGCTTGTCCAGTCAGCACTTTGCTCAGTTTGAAGACGGCACTATGGCACTCTGTATATAATCTGTCTTCTACCAGTATCGCGCTTTACTGTAATTATTTACAATAAGCAAATGTTTTTTTTTTGTTTAAAATTTTGCAATAAGAGAAAAACGGAACTGAAAACTGGAAGGACAAAACTTGAGAACAGTCTGTCCTCAAAATATTGAATTCCTGCATCTGTCAGTAACTATGATTAAAATAACATTTCTGTGGTACCCCTGTATATTCCAAATTCAGCAGTCATAGATTTACAATCCTTGTGGTCTGAGAATTATGGACTTGTGCAAAAGACTCAGAGCTCCTAAGAAAAATAAAAAAAAATGAAGTATGTAATTGTTGTCCTCAGTCAAAAATAAAATGTGGTGGAAAATATAGCCAGAATCCTTAGATTTAAAACAAAATAAAATTCAAATATCTGGTCATTTGTTATGGTTATACAGAAATGATTCTGATAAGCATTACACATTTATAGAGCACATAGAAAAATAGTGCATATATCTGAAAAATTAGTATAAATTGTTTAGCCATGGGGATGTTAATACAACAATGACAAATTATTTCAGCTATGGCAGATCTTATATACTGACTTTCACCTCACTGCTCCTGAAGAACTTCCTGCATTATCTTCAGCCTTGAATGAGCTTTGAAGTCCATTAATCCATATCTGTTTAGTCTATGTTCAATACCAGCTTTCAAAGCAGACACTACTTTTCTTGAACTCCAGTGCATCATCTGCAAAAGAAAAGAAAGAGGGCGTTTCAGAAACAAAGGCTTGTTTGAGGTTAACAGGTTAAGTAAAATTCCTGGCTTTCAATTTAACTCACAAAAAATAAACGCTCTGCCTATACAGTCCAAGCTCATAGCATTTCAAGATAAAAATCACCAAGTTTAATAATTATAATTATTATAAGAATGCACCTGACTCCTTATCAAATCTCAATGCATAAGTATGAACATTTTATTTGCTCAATATAGCATTTTGTGTATGCAGTTCATTCTCCATTTTGTTTTATTTAGGTAATTCAGTTCGACCTTGTTAATTGTATTTTAATTACTGAAACACTTTTATGGTTTAAATCTCTTACTATCCTCACATTAAATGCTTATACAAAATGGCAATATTAAAAGGGCTCGACTCACTATTTGCCTGCAGAATCAAAAAGAAACTACAAGCAGTAACTTATAACTCTGGCTCAGCATGGACTTTAAAGGCAGGGGGTTTGATAACATGTCTCAGATATACTGTACTGTATGTCTACATTCCTTTTTAATTTGCTGAAATGCAGTGAAAACCCTGGCAGCATGGTGGCGCAGTGGTTAGCATTGTACCCTCATAGCGCTGGGGTCCTGAGTTAATTCCCTGAGGTGCTATCTGCATGAACTTTGTATATTTACCCCTTGTTCATGTGGGTTTCCTCCAGGCACTCTGGTTAACTCCTACAGTTACCTGGCTTGTGGGACAACTGGGCCTGGTGTGAGTGTGTGCCTGAGTGTGCCCCAAGATGGACTGGTGTCCCACCCAGGGTGTATCTTGCCTTGCACCTGCTGCTTGCCAGATCGGGCTAGAGCTCCCCCCACAAACCTTTACTGGATAAGCAGATTACAAAATGGAAGGAAGCAACGATAACCCCAGGCTTTAGACTAAGTTATAATCGGCGTTAAAAAGCAAAGTTGGCATGTTCTGTAATGGTCATTTGACAGTATTTCAAACAGGCGTTACAAGAAACGCCGGCACTGTTGTTGTTTTGGGTTGAATGGCTAAGAACGTCGGAACATGTCGTGAAATTCAGGAATTATTTACTTTATAGATTATAATTACCAAGTAAAAGAGACACAAACCGTTCACCATCAGGGGCTTTCATTACCAATATTAGAGGGGAGGCTTACCGCTCGGACAACCTCCTTAGCAACCGCATTTCCACCTTCAGAAAAGACCACAAAGTTCACTGCAAGCTGATCAATGAGGTGTGGTGTGCGACACTGCTGAGAGTCTGTGGCTGCGAGGCTTAAAAGCGTCTCGAGGTGCGCTGCCGTCGGAGGAGCACTGGCGAAGAGCGACTTCAGATGATCGCAGACGCCTCGAGCAACTGCCTGCAGGGAATTGAGGGGAATTAAAGACAAGAGTTTACAGGAACGCAGTGGCAGTTTCATTCTCTTCATCCCCACTGAGTAAGCCCCTGACTAAAGGGAGAGAACACTTTTGTTTAAAATTGAAACATGTGGCAGACACAGGGAAGAGAATGAATGGCATATGGGCGCAATGGAAATTACTTCTGACTGTAGCGCCTAACAATTAAGGGCTGAGGGCATGAAGCCAGGATGTGCTTTCTCAAAAACAAAAGGAAATGGAAGACACTGCCTAAAGAAGCCAGTTGTAGCTCGCAGTGTGAGAAGAGAAGCTGGAGAAAAGGCTTTGAGGCTCTGTACACACAGATCAATACTTTCACCTGACATCATCTGACTTGTGATGAGACTCTCTCTAACAAAAGCCTTCTTGTGGGGTTTTTTTTCTAGCTTCACCATTTAGAAACATTAACAGAATTGAATTTTCCATGAAGGTCTGTCCAATCATAGGTGTACATTAAACGTTGTGGTTTTTGCTTGCCAGCTTAGCTGCAGATACCTTTCATGATATGGATGTATACGAGAAGCAAAGTATCAATGATCAACCAACACCAAACAGATCGGGAAAAAAACCATCTTGCAATACAGTGTGCTTTTACAACATTACCAATGACAAGATAGTAAGAGGGGCTTTGGCCTCTAAATTATAATCAGGTATTTGGAGGACATTCCTATGAATTAGCCTGCTGCAGTAGGATACTCACTTACATGGATGCAATTCAGTAATGTCAGTACCTTAATTTAAATCTTTTGAAGAAAAACAGGTGACTATAAACTACCAAGCAAGCTATGAGGACTATGTAAAAAACACTATTAAGGAAAATAGAACTTTTCCAATATACTTTTTGTGCAATTCTTCAGGTGTTTTTTTTTTTTTAAAAAACAACATTAATAACAGCTTCAAAAAAGTTTGTAAATGGTAGTAAAGTTTATATAGTGCTGGTTTTACATACACACCAGAATTGAAGGTACTGAATGGAAATAATCTCAAAAAGACGGAACACACAAAGCTCCTCAGCATCTCTGGATGCAGTGACTGTTTTTCTCAATCAGCTTATCATTTACCTCCCTCACACAATGCAAGAAAGCAAGTGAACATCACGTCTCCTCACAAATTACACAAAGACAAATAGAGTAAGAATTCGCCGTTTTCAATGAAAGTCATTGTGCGAATTACAGCACTAACAACTGTAATAAGACTTCTCAACGTTAAAATGTCTTCTAACGCACTGTGTTATAATGGTAGGACACTGTGTTCTACACTGTGCTTCAAAACATGTGCGGAGTCACAAGAAAAGTATCTCCAAGGGTGGCCTCTTTTTTTCATTTTCCTAAACAGGTTATGATTCATATTCTGTCCCTACCAACCAAAAACTATCCACCAAACAAACTCACCAGTGATTCAGACCTCTGCTGGCTTTCATTGTTTGGATGATGGTAGAAAGCCAAAAGCCACAGCAGTGCCCCTGAGGTTTCGGAGTCTGACGCAGTTAGATGCTGTGCAGCGACATCCACCCAGTCTCCACACTGGACTAGTAAGAACCAATTCTCAAAGAGACGCTGGCAGGACCTGGAACAGAATCAAGTTCATTGCCCATTTATCTTTCATTCTAATCGCATTTAGAATTCCTACCCAACCTTAAAATAAAATCACTGCATCCTTTTTACTACTTCGTGCCAAGTATTGAAACAAAGCGTCGAGCCGTCATTTTATCCTTGTTTGTCTTGAAAGTACTTTGCCTTCAGGCACAGCTGGGCTTGTTTGGGATTGATTCTGATCAAGGCGACTCCCAAGTTTCTTAATTTCATCATTAAATCCCTATAATGCACTCCTGCATCTCTGGCAGCTGTTTGCCGTTTTGTCGTCTGTTCCATTCCCTAATGTAGTTTCCCACCATTTTGACTTGAAAAAAAAACACCATAATGCACCCGAATCCCAGAATAACTCTTAAGTGAGGCAGTTAGTTTAATGGGCCAAGTTAAAGGTAGCCAGCTGGGCAGCAACATTTTTTTTCTATTTATAACTAGGCATGCTTGCTCCTCTAGTACCCATTAAAAACAGGTAAAAATGTCAAGGTTATAGTTTAAGATTTGCCACATAATGAATCATTCATTAGGGTATATTAATGTACCTTACACATGTTGCAATATTACACACACAGCACTTTTCATTTATAAACATTTGAGAACGGCATGGTGGCGCAGTGGTGAGCACTGCACCTCAATAACTAAACACTAACAACTAGCAACATTAGAAACTTGTGTGTCAGCTGGACTCCACTATAGTCCAGAAATTAATATTTCTAATACTAGGTGGTCTAAATCATTTATTAGTTCCTGCATGAAAGGTAATTACATAATACATTAGTCATTAGGCACAGTAAGCCACAAAGTTATCAGAAAATAAACCTCTTCATATCCACTAGACTAGAGCAATAAATATACTGATGAGAGTTCCATTGTATACCACTCAAAAACTGTAGATATCATGCAGTGTATAATGGTAGATAATATTAAAATTCAGATGACAAGATATATGTTATGAAACACAGCAGCTTAGCAATTTTACAATGGCTTTATATTTATATCTCAATCCTGAAGCCTTTCTAAAAATAAAGGCTCATCCAAAAATGCCAAAGATGTCACAGAAAAAGAAAAATAGGCTATAGGCCGACTGCTCGAACAATGGCACGTTGTTCATTCAAAAACTCTGGAACCACATGGCATTTTCTGCTATTACCCAGGTGTCACACAAAACACAGAATCTGAAAACTAGTCACCATGCTGTAAATATTTATCAGGTCGGTCAACATTTTGTCAGTTAATAACTGACAAAATTAATGGACTGAAGTTAATAAGCAAACGAAACAAGATTCTCTACCTAGGTAGGTTTTCATTTAGAAAATGTGATGCATGATTACAGCTGATTAGTATATTAATGGCACACAACGTTGAAAATATGCCTTTTCTTGTCCACTCTTCTGTTCCAGAGAACATTCAATGAAATGGAAGCATCAGCAATAACAGGTAAGGAGCTTTTTGGAACCTTTGCTCAGGTTATATTAAGCAACATCAGTAGGGCAATGACTGAAGAGTAAGAATACTCACTGGTAATGTCCTTCCTAGTTTTGAGCAACATATGGGCAAAGCAAGATCTCTCTAGCTTTAATGTGGTTTCACAAACTATGGTCAACCATCACAGCTGTGTAGTGTTTTTCAGGCATAGATAAGACCTGACAACAGCAATAGTCTATAATCTTCCCTAAAATGGAATTTTTATTACACTAAAAATAGAACCTTGTTCGTTGCGGTCCTAAACCACAGTCTCAAGTGGACTGTCAACCAAGGGAAAATAAATTAAGATTTCCATAATGACTTCTGAAGGCAAGTCTATTTCCACAACTAATGCCAAATCATGTTCTTGGATTCAGAAAGGCCTTTAATGTATTGAAAGCAATGTAGTCTTGTGGTTAGAGATGGACACTAGGGATCGAGACACAGTCAACAGAACTGTGGGAGTCAGAAGTGATCAGACCAGCTCACATGGAAAAGATAATGCCTCTCAGCTCTGATATACTGTAATAGATCGACAGCCCGATATTTGCGTCAACCCCAAGACCAAAACAAACAGACTGGTACATTTTTGCCTGAAGGCCTGTGGCATGCTAATAAGCCTGAAAACTCACAAAGCTTAAATGAGTTTCTCCCCTGTGGAATGATATTCTGTGTTCAGAATATCAAATGCTATTCCCATTATGTACTTTAAGGACAAATTATATTAACAAAAATATACAGTATGCCTAAAAATCTCACTGGCTTATATGCCACTATTTAGTCAACCAGGCAGCAAATAAAATATGAGATCATTAGAATCACATTTTGTGAAGAGAGGTTTCAGATCCAGGACTTATTGAGCTTCAGGACAGCCAGGATGTCTTTCAAAACTTTCCTCTCTAGTGTAAAATTGTTTCCACTTTTACTGAAGCCAAACAAACTCCAGCTAATTTTCCAAAACCACACTGAAGTAAAAGAAGATCTCCACATGCTACTACGTACATTTTGTTTCCATTCTTTCTAGATTTGCATCATTAAAACTTCACAGATACAGTACACTTTCTCCTGCAGTACTAAACAAGTTCCAAACTACAGAGAGTGTGCTATGAACATAAAATAGTTCATTCTCTGCAAGCCTATTTAAGTTGCTCAAAATATCACATAATTGATTTTTGTACTGATAAGCAACAATGCTGGTAAGATTTTATGTTTTACAAGGTCAAATACAGTTAAAATGGCCTTTTAAGCATGGTTTAGGTTTGACTGCAAAGTAGATGTCTTTTAAGTAATACAGAACAGGAGCTCTCATAACAAGCAGAAAAAAACAAAACTAATTAAACACTAGCATTGCTCATTCCATCAAATCAATGCAGTTTTCAATGATAAAATCAGCAGGATCTCCAAAAGACATTTTATCGTCACAACACCACAGTATTTCAGAGGGCAACAAAGAATTAAGCAAAAAAAGTTAAGCAGCTGTAAAGGTAGGGTGTCCAGGGGAATTTATTTTTGATAACATAGCACATTCACACTGAGATTGTCTTCAAAAGAAAACTGCTGCTGGTGTCTTGCCTTTCAATCCCCTTTTATTAATGCAGGAGTGAGCCTTGGATTAAATACTGTTGGAAGAAAAGCTCTCTCTATACAACAGTGTTCGCAGTAATATGGGATTGTGCAATAAACTAACACAAATATGCATTTCAAGAAGCAATGAACAAACAGCGTTATTAGATAATAATTCCTTACACTTATATAGCGCTTTGAGTGAAGTGTCCACAAGATTGACACTTATTGTTAAACTTATGCCTCAAGAACAGCAACATTTTCAAACAAACGTGAAATCTTTCACTGCGTTCAATTTCAAATTGTGTATTTTCTTTTTGTGTTGCGATATAACATTGGGCACCCACTCCCATTGGTATTATATTACATCAACCAGGATGATGGCTACAGAGAGAAATACTTTTCATATTAAACCTTTGTGGGGTTCTTAATAGACCTTAGCGTTAAGATGTTTGAAGCCTAATATACACCAGAAATGTCAGTGTGGCAGTGTTTTGGCTCTGCGCACACTAGCGGAGATCAACAGCCTCGTCAACTTGAGGATCTTTTAAGAATGCAGTCCCCGGAGGTTCTGAACGTTATGTCATGTTCTTTGAAAAAGAGTCACGGGATAGGAGATTCTTGCGAGACTGCTTAAAAACGTCAATGACTAAAATGCAGCATTCATGAAAGCAGATATTAGACTTTGTGCTACATGGACCATTTAATCGGTTCTGTGACACATACATCAGTGTGATTCTATTTTCCGCATACCCTCTCCTTGTTCCAGGCTGTTTTAAATGATTAGTTTGGGTCCACACAAGACTATATTGTCGGGCAGGCATTTTGCCAGAAACAACTGCTGACTGGAAACAGCTGACTATATATTTGTACACTACTGGGGAAATTCGTCTGTCACTGGCTTATTTTGACACCGCTGGTTGGGCCAGATATGCATGTGTGTTGGGGGGCATAATCCTAACACTTGCTTATGTCCATTAATTTGGTCATTTAAAAATAACATGCAAAACAGCGCTGCAGCTGCTTACCCTGTGAGCTCTTCTACTTCCACAACGTTTCTTAACGTCCAGCTTATCCACTTCAAGTGTTCCTCCCACACATGAGAAGGCACTTCTGTGGAAAAACACATCACTGGAAATACATACTCTGGAGTGACAACAAGATCAAATGCTATTGGTTTCTACAAAACCAGTGAAACAGCAAAAGACGTCCTGAATGAAAAACAATCAGACTAAAGAGGCAGAATCCACAAGGATTCAAAAACAAAACGGAACAGTGCCCTTTAGTGCATTCAGTGCTCCCGGCCTAGGTTTTTTCCAAACCATGCATGCCCTTTGGCTATGTCTCTTAAATAATTACTGCTGCTTAATCAGATAAAGCAAAACACTCCCTAAACAGAATTACAAGCTCTAAAAAATCAATTCAATCCTTATTTTGCATCTACAACTTTTTCTTAACACATCCTGTACAATTTTTATAAACTCTACATAAATATGTGTGACTTGCAGATTTCATTATTCCTGCAGACAGCACTGTGCAGTAAGCCCAGCTGCCACATGATTATGTATTTAAAACCCCAGATCAACACCACTGGGACTATTCATACAACTGACAAAAAACATTATCCCACTTAATACGTACAGATTATTGAAAAAGAAGCAGTCATTCAAAATGTCTCAAAGTATATATATATATGAGTGTGTGTCTTTCTATTGAAGTCACAATTAATTGGCTGTACACATAATCTCCACATTGCTATATGAAGATACAGTTTATTTATATGTTTAGTTAAATCTGAAATGTTGTGGCCAAGTGTAGACTTTTGAGTGATAAGACTCCCAACAGACATCACACTGCCTGCTACCTGAGCTTGAAGACTGCATTCTGAAGATATTCCCAGTTGTTTTCCCGTTAAGAGTACATACACATACTAAATAAGATAGTCCATTCGAAATTCACAGTGGCGACGTCCTTAACAAAATGAACAACGTAAGAGATTGGAACCACCAGCATTGTATGCTCTAGTGTCTTTACAATTGGGGATGGACACATTTTCTTCCTATTCAGTTGTATTATCTCAATGCAACTGGATATGTTTTAGCTGTGAAAATGAAACATTTAAGGATACACTGTCTACAGGTGGCACACACAACAGGAGGGAAATTAATCCAATGAAGCAAAGTGCCACAATCTGCAACTGCAGAATTATATTCCAAGCAATATTAAAAGACAAAACGGAACCACATTTTCTGAACTGCGTCCTTTAGGACATGAAACACATAGCAGCCTTCTCTTCTTCTATTTCACAAGCAGATGAGGGAGAATATTTTGCATTTTAAAATCCGAAACTTCACATGGGGCACTCGAAGTGCTCTACAGAAGTAAGGAATGTGTGACGTCAGAACCTGAGGGAAGCTTCAGGAGGGCCATCACCAGAGACTGAGGATGGTGAGGAAAGAACACCTTCAAGGGCAGCCTCTCCTGAAAGGAAACATACAACGCAGGCTCACAAGTGGACAGGATAGCTAACCCCCGATTTCATGTGTGTCACATTTATCTGTGGCTTATTATTTTCAAAGGGGCTCTGGGAGACTATTCTAGACGTTTTGATGTCAGCAATATTTCTACACAAATGACATTTAAAAATACAGGGGTTTCACCACTCAATTAAAGTTTTAAATAACTACATTTCTAATCTAACAACTCTTTCTTGGGTGCATTACCATCACACCCATGATAACACATCAATGAGCAAAGACTTTTCCTTGCGCTTGTATCAACAAAGTTTCAACAAATAAGTATTTCGCTGTTACACTATTGACCTTAAATCAATACATATTAACTTCAAAAAATGAAACTGTATATTTATTACAATTAGTACAGGTTGGATGGATTAACAATTAGCTGGATAGCTGGTTAAGTTGATCGGCTTTTAGTTTGCTTTCAATACCCAACGTGGGCAAACAATGCTGAGCTATTCAATTCGTTCAGCATTGGTTTTCCTCTTCTGTCAGATACAGCCTGCGCAGTTATCTTAGGAGCCTGTCAATATCTGTATCACCTGCCTGCATTTCATTTGCGTTTCTTCTGTGTTTGACTACCTCAGACTTAATGATGTCAAGAAAACTCAGGGAAGGTAACAGCTGAATAAACCCATTTGAAAAAAGCAGTAAACATGGTTTTAAAGAGAAGAAGACCCCCATCTCCAACTTCTCTGTCTCTACTACCTGCATGTCCTCAAGCAGCAGTGACTGGACAAAGCAGCGCGTGAACAGCCTTATAATACTTTGTACTGGTGTGTTTTCACTGGACTCCAGAAGCATTTGCCTGTACAATAAGAAATGGAAATGAGAAAAAAAGCAATGCATAAATGCTAATTATGTACCAGCACCATTTTAATGCATTATTTCTAAAAGTCTTTTCAGAATGTATTGAGGCGTTTAGACATTTTGAAAAATCAAATTTGAAAACAGGCCATCCATGCTGAATTTCAGTTTCCCTCAATATTCTGCATTAGTGATTAGTATTTGGATAGTAAAAAAGCAAGCAAATAAAATGTACTGTACACTGTGAAGATTATTAACAGTTGAAATGGATGAGACAATACCATTTAGAATCAGGTATATGTAACATTTAAACTTCATGGAAAGTATAACTCTTCTTTGAAAAAAGATTGATATACACATTAAATGCTATAGTTTTAATATTCTTTTAAACTTTACACTATTTTACACTTTACACTATTTCATACACATAATGAAATCTGTCCCTGTAGTACACATGAACTTTAATGCTTGGAAGACCAATAATGAAATACTTTTTCTGTTTACAGTAACTTCAATATTTGACCAAACACCATGAAATAATGTTCATATCAAAAACAATATAATACTTGATTGTGTGCGTAAATGTCAGAGAAGACCCCAGTTTGGCTTCTAGAGTTGATTGAAATTGCAGATTTTTCTACTTCTGCTACTTCCTGTGATCAGAGAGGTGATTTACTTTTCTCCCCCAGCACAACGTCACCTGAGCGTCAGAACCGTTTCTCTTGTTGCGTTCCTCGAGGATCTTGGGATATTGCACGATCGGCGGCGGTATAACGGTTTACAAGTGAATGAGTAAGGAGCGTAGTGCCGCCCTGCTGGTTTTGGTCCTGGCCATTTGTAGTCCCCAGACAGCAGCAAACTTGGACCAAAATGCCACTGAAAGACCAGGTTCTTCTACACAACATTTAGGCTTCAAGAGAGTGATGTTACCTTTTGTAACATGATTTTCACACAAGCTCTGTCACACACTTTATCAAAACAATGTGCTGTTTTTACTTTCCACGTGTGTTTTTTTCTGTTGGTCTCTGTAACAGTTTCCCGTAAGTGCCATGAATTCTTCACCAAATGTGAATTACGCAGCAATTTCTGTAACTTCTAGTAGCCACAGCTTGGGAAAATTCTAACGCAGATGGAATGTGAGAAAATATTAAGAAAACTCCCAAAAGGAATACACATTTTCAACACCTGCATTTTGAGACTGCATAAACCAACGCAAAGGCTTTTTTTCTCTTCAATCTGCTAATCAGACAAAGAACTGAAAGCATTTAGGGCCACGGTTACAGTGGAAATAAGAGCTGTGCAAGGCTTTCTAAATCACAAAATGTCCTATATTAAAACAAAATCTTGTTTCACCACAACTCCAAACAAACTCCAAACCTCAAAAGCCCATTTTTGCTTAATGAATGGTTTCAATTCTTTTTTTTTTATGACAGGCTAAAACTAATCAGAAATTAAAAACCACCCAAGGAAAAGAAGAGATGGCGTTTATTTAAAAAACGTCCCACAAAGATGTTTCATTTTATTGGAGACTGCCTCCCAAAGATCAAACACAGATGATCTAAGGACACAGCAGCCTTAAAAGGCACCTTTGTAATTACAGAGAATGCAACCGCAGAAGGATGATGGCAGTTCTCTTGTTAATCTTCCAGGATGAAGTTTTAATCTTGTTGCCCACAAGCAGATAGTAAACAGATGGTCGTTTGAAAGTGGGCAGATACTCAGACGCATCTGAATTCAGTCAAGACAGGTAAAAGATTTTCATTTAGTATACTGACAATACATGTGTCCTGTATCCTGCACAGACATATTAGAGCAAGTCAGTTATAGATAAGTGTATACAATATCCATTCGGTTTTGATTTAGTATTGCCTTTAAAGGAATAAAACATATTTTGATTCTGAAGTATACTGATAAAGTTTACCGACGTTTATTACATGCATGATCCCTGTGATTTCAGACAATAGAGGACAATGTCCTCACTCATGCATCTCATTTAATTGCTCAAGTCTAACTAGTCATGCCACTCCCAGCACGTAGCAGTCTCGAAGCAGATTAAAAAGGTACAGTAAAGCACTCCTTTAACATAATTGCTCCATTTTCTTGGAGTTTGCTTACAGGTCTTTAGCCCGCTATTAGTCTCACAAAGATGTTTCATTTTTTTGTACATTTCCATAACTTTTTTAAGGGAATCTGAAGTCTTCCATCTGACACTTCCTAATAACACTTTTCCTGTCCCAGATCCTTTTAGCCTGGTTGGTAGCACCTGCGTATAATACATCCTTATGGCAATGAGTTACCAGGTAAGACAGTACGAAGTGCCACACTGTGGTGAGACAAAGATACTTCATCTTTGTGTTGCAATACAAATTAGACTCTGGTACAATAGTCAATTGTACTGATACTGATTCCAATTCTGCACTTAACAATTAGGATCTGTACTAGTACAATGCCTGCTTTGGGTTTGTGAAATGTTCATCAAAAACTATACAAATAGCATTTGTATTTTATTTGCAATCCAACTGCATTACACGAACGAAATGTAAAATATGCACGGACAAATGCATCGCAAAAGTAAGGAAATGTCCGCAACAGATGATCCAGACAGAAAAAAATCACTAGCTAATCATATCAGTGCTATGATCGTTTAAATTGTCCAGGTCTATTTTATTATGTTATTTATCACTTCTAGGCTAACATTTCATTTCTGCCTCTTCCATTTGCAGAATCAAGTGGCTAGTTACATTAACCCAATTCTGATACATTTGAATTGTACTGTACTGGGCCTATATTCGGTGATGATGGCTTCCAGATAAACGTAGAAAGTAATCGTAGATAAACATATTTATGGGCTTTCATTCATACATTCAGGTAGTACCTCCTTTACCATACCAAACCACACACTGGTCAGAAACATGGGACTCTTCATGCCAGTCAAAAACATTGGGAATAAGTGTTTATCGCTTGCAGAACAAACTGTTACTCTAACACTTCTGGTGTTATTCGGTTGAAAGTGTGGCTGCAAATTATTTCTTGGTCACACACTCCTCTGAACATTTAAACTATTCACAGCTCTGCTTTTGACAAGTCACACCACCACCTTAGACTGACATCATCCAATTACTAACATTCTCCTTTTTCATTTTTAGTAATACATGTATAACTGGCACTTCTGTCTTGTAAACGTTTTACTTCCAACTGTCTGTATTATTAGCCACAACCCGAAATGAGGCCATTCATACTTTAGGATTTTCAACACTAAATTCACTTTTTTTTGTTGATGGTTGAAATTTGCTTCAAATATCACCATGGTAAAAAAAATAGCAGTTTACATTAAACTAAACTATCCAAATCCAACTTTCTGTAGCTAAAAAAATCTTAAAGTATACATAGGTGTGAATGCTAATTGTACCAGTACGATTGTCAAACCATACAGAACATAATAAAATAGACCTGGACAATGTAAGTGATTACAGCTAATCGTACCAGTGACTAGAAGACATCCAAGCACACCTGAAAGCCCCCAGATATACTGTATTCACTCACAGAACCTACCTGAAAATGTCTTTCACGGTCAGAAATATAGGGGCATGGTAGGCTGAGGCTTTGGGCTAAAAGAAAGAGAAAAAGAAAACTCAAAAAAGGAACAAATTATCTGACTGCCTTACATACAAAAAAATATGTTCCTTCTATTTTTAGACCTTCCATTTCTTGACCATAAGATTCAGAATTGCTAATAGACAAACTTCTTAACTAAAGTGAATAAGACATCTGTAACTAGAAGATTCTACCATATTGCCATCTTAAGAAATCACCAATAACGATGAGCCAAGATTTAATACATCTGAAATTACTTAAAGACAGACTCTCCTAAATGCACTCTGATAAATGGCTATGACAGCAGGACATTTCACTATTTCACATAATGCATGAAAAGCACAAGAGCAAATGCAAAGATAACTAGGCTGAGGTGCACTGTCAACACAAAACAATACTACATGAAAAGGTGCATTTTTACAAAAAAAATAAAAAGGAGATGAATCTGCAGTGGGTCCACATACTGTGTAATCTGACATTAGCCAATCAATCCACGTTTCACAAAACAAAGATGGGTGTCATTTTGTTACTTCTGCTGTGCAGAATTCACAAACAGCATAACTCAATTCTGTGTCGTCTAACAGGAGCTCTCGATTAACTGAAAAAAAAAACTTATTTCAGCATATAATCTGGATGACGGTCATGTTTTAACTTTTATCAGCATTATAAATTCATATATTAAAATAGGATATGTAATGGTGTCTTGCCTTCACCTTCTGCACTCTCGTTAAAACACCAGTGCATTTAATCCCCTGGCCATTTTATCTAGAGTTAAGAATATGCTTTGTGCTTTAATAACATGGTGTGCTGAATCTGGGCCACATTTGGAAAATATTCCAAGTCATTTTAGCCTGTTTTGAAAAGTACAAAGATCATTTGGATTCTGCTGCAATCCCTGTTACCTATTTTATTGTATTTTGTTTCCCCCTAGTGGCGGTTTCAAAATCAACACCAGTACAGTACCCACAATCAAATGTTTCACATAAAATACCAAAATATAAAAAAACATCTTGCGGACTTACTAAGGATCACCATGATATATTTACGATTAGAGTTTGTATGCAGATAGCAGAAACAAACTATAAATTCAAAATGAAGCTACTTAGGAAATTATTGACAGAAAAAAGAGTAGAATTTATATGTTAAAATTGTGTTATGCAATATAGAATACCATATACTGTATATTTTTTTCACCATGGACGAATGGCCTCCTCTCTTTTGTAACAATTCTTATGCTCTGATGGGATAGCTTTATGTTTTTAGTATGATAAGGATTTACAACCTGATGATTGCCAAATAAACATTTCTATGAAGGACTGATGCTTTAACATACAGTACCTGTTTTTAAAGACCTACTTTAGCATTGCAGTACCACATTGTGTGAATACATTAATGTTGCTGATATTTTCAACCCCAGTGACATTAATTTATGGCTTACAAAAAAAGCATTTTTTCGGCCGCAGAAAAAAAGGTTAACAAAAAAAGTGAAACATTGGAAAAAGATTTTCCTATTTGCCCATAATGCACCTCGCTGCCAAGAGCTTTTCTTAAAGAAGCATAACTATGCACTCTCTGGTTTCCAGTATGTCCAGTCCAAAGACATACTGCTAGGTTAACTGGCTTCTGGGAAAATTAGCCCTGGTGTGAGTGTGTGTGGCCTGTGATGGACTGGGGTCCCGTTCAGAGTGAATCCTGCTTTGCACCCATTGCTTGCTGGGACAAGCTGGAGACTCTGAATTGGAAGAAGTGGTTAGAAAATGGATGGATAACTCTGCAAGCTGTTCAAGTTCAATGTTACTGGTTTTCATCCGTATGCCATTGCTTAGCGTTGATAGAAACCCGATGTTGTAGTGAAACATAGCTTTAGATAAATCCTGAGCCATCTCAGAAAACCGAACAAGGCAATACAACAAAAGACAGACATTTTTAAATTCACAAAGCTGTTTGTCACTTCATAAGTCTTCTACAAGGTTCATACTTCAGAAAACATTCATTTAGCCTCATAATTATGGATAATTATACCATCTAGTGATTATTTTCTTTCATCACAAGACTTCAGCCTTGTATGCTGGTGAATTCCCAGAGAATCTTCTGCTTTAAAGCTTTAGGATTCACTATTCTCTCTCATGATCTTTAAATCCATTTCTTTCAAGTGTACAGAAATTGAAATACTTCCAAAACAGAAGACACAAAACTGCTCACATAAAAAATATTTTTGTACTTTAAATCCAAAAGAAACAAACTGTATGTGTAACTTTTACACTTCTGTGAGAATTAAGCAGCTTTGACACTTACAGTACACTGAAATATCACCTATATTGTAGATAACCGATTGTGCCACAAGGAGTTATGCAGTTTTTATACTGTTACAGCCTCTGAAACACAGTGCATACTGTAAATAGAGTAACTTGTGTGTTGTATGTATAGTTTGCGTTTTGTCATTGTTAATTAATACCAAGTGTGCCTGGATTTTTAATCGATTTACCAAAGCTGTGCCAGAGAACAATGAATTCATATGCCACTAATTATACCAACTGCTCAGGTATATTGTTGTGAAATCACTTACAAGTAGGCGGTTATGAATATTTATTTTACTTATTGACTTAACCGCTCAGTCAATTCCAGATTCTTACCATTTTTATACCGCCCCATTCGTAACAATACCAACACTGCTGCCTTGGCAACACACTGCTTAGTTCTCTATCTAAATTTCCTCTCCTAGGGAGATGCATGGATCTACACTAGAACTAGCGTGGGACCTGCCAGACAACCCAGGGGCTTGACAGCCACTCTTTCAGCCCGTGTCTCTAATCAGGCTGGGATATGGACAAGTTCATAGTGGAAAGAAGTCTTTCTGTTTCAAATGCACTCCCACATAGTTTCCACTCATGTCCCCTGGATCAAGTGTCACTCCTGATTCTGAAGTAGTCCAAAGGTTTGACTTTGTTACTGTCTTTGAGTATTTTAAGGATACTTGAACCAGGTCAAGGAATGCTACAGACTATTTTTAAAGTCTAAAAAGGAAAACCGTTTTAGCCCATTGTTGTGGGATATTCCTTTAATCCTATCGGTAATTCAAGTTTCTTCTGTGTCAACAGACACCAGAGGAATGGATGGTGTATCTTGGTGACCAGAACTGTACACAGCTTCGTAAACAAGGTCTCACTAGTGCATTCATTTTTTTTAATATAGCATCCGTTGATTTGACACTTGTACATATACATTCTGAATTCTGTTTTCAAATTTGAAATGGAACATTTTACTCCTTCTCTCTGTACTGTGTTTCCTGCCCAAGAAACAATACTTGAATATATATACTGTAAGTACACGCATTACCTTCAATGGCTACTGACTGCAATTTGAGAATTAAACTTTTATGAGGAACTTTTTCAAAATCCTTCTGAAAATCTAGATGTACAATTTCACATGTTCTTTTTGTATATGTTGCTGCTGCTACTTGTTCAAAGAACTCTTGAACATTTTTTTTTTTACACAAAGGAAAACGGAGGAAATGGATGATGTAATACAATAGCTTTGGTTAATCACCCACCAATAAAGAATCCATCATCAGGTGCTCCATGTCTTGTGGCAACAGAGACTCATTTGAAACCAACGAGTCAATCAGATGTAACGTGGCCTTTTCAAGACTGGGAAGGCAGCGCAGCCAGAGGCTCATGACTTCCGGCTCATCAAGAACTAACTTCTTCCTTTAGTAAGACAAAAAAAATAGGCAAAAAGACCTTCTTAGACTTAGTTTTGTAGCCATTTTTGTTGTACCTTTCCCCCACTGAAACCACTGCCTTCAGGACGGCAGTCCAAGGATCCCCCATGGCCGAAACATGCAGGGGTCGTTTAAACATCGGCTTCAGCTAAATGGCACTGGCAGATGAAAACGGTAAAAGAAGTCTGCTTGGAAATACACTGAAAACTGAAAGTTTCCAATCATTTGACAAGAAATGAAACCTATACAGCTAACCGAATTATATCATAAAAAGTCACAGGAAGTCTGAAGACTTTTTTGGGAAGGCACTACTTAAGGACTGTAAAGAGTGAGTTGGAATAGCACCACTGCGCTGCAGACTGCAGACTGCAGACTGCACAGCAGTTCCAGCACTGTGTGCTGAGAGGAGGAAAAGAATGCCGTGGCTGACCTCAGATTCCATAGGGAATCTAATATGGGGATGTGGTTTTAAACATGTGGGGGAGACCAAAGGAAGGTTAAACACCAGAGGGAAAGCACACCATACTAGGAGCTCAGCGGTTGGATCGCATCAAAAAATATCAGGTTGTGAAATAAGCGCAGAACACTGCACAGACTTTATAAGAGAAACCTCGTTTGTGTGGCGAGATGGAAGTCAGTCATTCACATTTTTAATACTTATGGCACCGTCCTTCCACTGAATTTTGGAAAACATTTCTAAAGGAACGGAGTGAGAGAAGAACATTCTTGGCAAACGTCAGTGCATGCCTGAACACATAACTGCCTCCACCTTTCTGAAATACCACAGACACTGATGAACATGTTGTCGGCATGTGATGGCAACCTAGTTTGTCCTCCATCACTGCAATGATGCACGAATGGGAAGGGCAGATTAGAGTATGTACTATATACTCTAATCAACAATCAAAAGTATACTGTATAATCAACATGCTGACTTCTCCAAGTGCAAGTATCTTACCTCTGATTACAACAATGCTTTGGAAATATCCAAAGAAAATTGTGAATGTATAGATGGTTCTTCCTTAATGTGATTTCTGGATTACTAAGATTTTTGCACTCCTGGGTAACTGTCTTTACCAATTTCACTGATGAGAAATTGGTTTCATATGTGTGATGGCACCTAAAGAGGCCTTCCTTATAGTAGCAAAGCTATACAGGATTCCCTCACCAACTGAGGGCGTTAAATTCCTGAAAGCCCTTCAGGCTAGACATACTGTACTTGAGAATATGGGAAACAGGGGTAGGTTCCCATGGTCTGTGCTACACTCATCAACAGCTGACTTAAACTGCAGATTTCTCCCTTAAACTTGACAAAAACATTACAAGTGAATTATAAGTCAACATATGAAAGCAATAAAAATCTAAAAGATAATGAAACTGAGCGTAATTTGCATTGAAGACTGAGTATTGAATATATTAGTGAAATCCCATGCGCACGCCCATGTGAAAAATACGGAACTAAATGCCCAGCTTGGTGGAGAGACGCTAATGAACGAGGGTGGCCAGCAAGCAACACTGAGCTCATGAGCTGGCGGAGAAGCTCCGTGCCTTTAAAGTTTCCACGGGCAGGACCGCGTATGACCAAAGGCTTCCTGTGGTTGGGAAGGCTGGTACTCAATATGGAAACTGCATGACTGAGATGTGCTGCTAACGCACGTAGACACACACACACTTGGTAAGGGAAACATGTACAACTGAGGAAGGTGTGTGTTGCCTAAAAAATATTTGAACCACCGGGTAAAATGTTAGGAGCGGTTGCACTGAAAAGCTTTGTCAGGGTTTGCATGCGCTGTGCGTGCAGGGCTGCCATCTTGAACCTACTCCAGCACAGCTTTTCCGACAGCTTCCAGGAACTCCGCGCTAAGAGCTCCATTATGGCCAAATTCAGGGCACAAGAGCAGGGTGCCAATCAAAGGCGCAGCTTCCGGGTGGGTCACCAAAGGCAGACACAAAACGGATAGGCTGTGCAGTCTGTCAGACAGAGGCCTGAAAAACAGAAATGGTCAAATAGAGCACAGGGAACAGGAGTGCACGTCTAGCATTTATGTTAAATTTTTTGTTTTTTAATCCTATCAGTAAATAGGCTTTAAATGCTAATGTGACTTTCATGAAATTTTCTAAAAAAAAATCCCTAAAGCCTCAATATATTTTTAAATTGGTGTCTTCGACAGGCAATATTGAATAATGCATTTGAAAAAAGGCACAAATCACAGACGTTTTTTCAATTTATGAAAACTGTTTGGACAATGAAGAAAGAACAATAGTAAACTGGTGAATCATCACCACATGCTGCATATGCACACAAAGCATTCAGCGGCACCAAAACCACAAGTTAAACCGCTCATTGGACTTATCAACGGAAAGTTTCGTTAATGACCTCAATTACAGTACCAGTACCAGTGTTTTGAGTCTTAGAAAATTTCCATTTGCATCAAACGGGATGAATCAGTTGCTAACGACAGAATATAGAGCAAAAAAAATCCTCTAGCAAAACTCACTGAGCTGTAGCACAAGTTTTTTTGTGATGTCCTCTACCAAACTAGTTGAATTCATAAAATTCCATCTATGGAAGGTCACATTCTGTCTATTATTAACATGAGGTGGTGGGACTGATGGAAGTCCCTGGATCAGAAATTGCCCAGTTTACATTCCTGTACTGCAAGTTGGTAATAGACATTCCTTGAGGTATAGGTATTGTATTTACGCTTATATATAGTGCCTTGCAAAAGTATTCAGCCCCTTTGGACTTTTTCACATTTTATTGCATTACAGCGTGGAACCATGATGTATTTATGTGAGAATTTATTTTCTATTTTTTATTAATTTTGTAAAATTTCTGGATTTTTTCCCCCCACTTTGACATTACCTCGTGTTGATGAGTGGCGCAAATTCTCAGTGGCTGTAACACAATAAAATGTGAAAAACTCCAAGGGGTGAATACCTTTGCAAGGCACTGTACTTATGTGCTGGGAGGTTATAAAGGGAGTACCCTTTAAAAAGAGAAAGCATTCACATGAAACTCTCTGAACAACAGGCTCATAATCAGCCATGACTCGACAAAGTGAAGTAAGGATACTGCAGGTAGTTTCTCAAAGGTTGAATGCAACACACACTACAAAATCCAACTGTAACGCTTTCCATGACGCGTTACTGAACAAACCACAGAAAAAAAAAGGGGGGGGCATTTGTCTTTCTCTTAATATGCAAACTCTGATCAAGCAAGTATAGGAACATTTTGAAAAGTTTTGAGATAGATCCGAGTAATCTGTTTTCGGCAGATGCACTACTGTCAAGGTAAGGCCGGCTGGCAGATAGGAGTGATTAACAAGCCGCTGACGCGTGGAAGACAGACCCAAGACTGAAGACGAAGGGGATGGAGGCACTCTAGCCATGCCTGCCAGGGCAATCAGCAAAAAATAGAAAAAAAAAAAGGATAAGGAAATAAGAATGAGAGAGCTTTGAAGAACTTATATCAACCAAAACCATCTAAAGCAATGGAAACTAAATTAATAAAAACAACAATGCAGCGAGCCAAGTAGAACATTAAAAATGTTGCATGACACACACAGGAAACCAGTTATCATGGCACACTCTAAATTTAAAAGAGCACGAACCCAGATATTAAAAGCAAGAGTGTATTTTTTCAATGAGGTATTTTGATACACTGCTGCTACAATTCTCTTCTGCAGCACTTCTTTGTGTGACTGACATGGTTGCAACAAAGAAGATGGTTTCCTGCTCTCTAGAGTCAGCAAATCATAAACGTAACTATAGTACAGTACATCATGTTTGAATTGGGTTTGGAGTAATTAACTTAATGCAAGGAAATGATCTAATTTTGTTTGCTTAGCAGACGCCCTTATTTAGGGTGATGTATGTATGTTTGTTGGGAAAAAGTAAAACATTACATTTAAACTGCCTAACGTTATCATCTCTTACATAAATGGAAACAAGTAATAATAACAGAAGGAATACATACAGGTACTGTACCTGCGAAAGACAACTGAACTTGATAAAGGGCACGAAAAAAATACTGCAGGTTATAAGGTCAGCTTTGATTATTAAACACTTTGATCTTATGATTAAGTAAAGTACAACCACATATAACAAGATTCTAACGAATGAACCAACCACAAAAGTGTAAGGGGACAGTCTACCTGTTTTCACATGCCATTAGGTCGTGTTTGAAGCAAACGTAGGGAATAAATTAAAGACATCTTGTATACGTAAACAAATTACCCTTTTGAAGGCTGGTTTTATGCCTCACTGACACAATATGTGCATATTTAACAAAGCATATCCAAGCTAAAGCTACACCTAGTTGTATCAGCAGGTGTGTTATACCTACCTCGCAGGCATGTGAATTCCATTATGGCAGATTCCTGCAAGTTCAGTCACTAATGACGAAACCATCTGTAAAAAAAGCCAATGACACGTTAAACACACACTTGGGGGATAAGATGGCATTATTTTTAACCTGCTTTCCCACTAGGATATTTCCATTTTCTTTGGGAAGTATTTTTTCAGATTGGTTTATCGTTAGTAAAGTTCACTTGGGCAGAACTCTTACACTTTAAGGCAATTATGAGGTGGCAATCATTTGCATTTACCTGCATTTTGATTTGAAATAAAGAGGAAAAGCACAATTAAATTTCTTCTGGATTTAATCCACACCAAAGTGCAGATTCCAAAATGTTTTGAACTAGTGAGTTTTATTTTTTGGGGCATGGTGTAAGGAAAGTATTACTTTACACTGATTAATCGGTTTTGCCATTATATTTGTGAATAATCAATCAGTGACTATATAAATAATTCTTACATCTTTGACCAGGTTTGAATGCAGTTCCTCAGGAATACAACTCAAAGTCTGGAGAGAAGTGCTTGCTGCACTTTTGTCTTCTTCAGAAATGAGGTGACATAATAAGTTCTGGAAATAAAAGTTTAAGCAGTACAATGAGCATGATTCAAATATAATGCTAAAGACAACTACAGTAGACTCACGTTTTAAGCAGTAGTTAAGTTCCTGACATATAATCAGAACACCCTCCTTAAACAAGTAATCAACCATAAATCTATCAGTATGTGTATATATATATAGTTTAAAGTATTATAAGTAAGATAACAAATACAGTACTGTACAATATACAAAATAGATCAAATACAATTTAATAATAATATACAGGGAACACAGAAGGTACACAGATCTCACAAATCGCCTTCACTCCATTTCTTATTGAATGAATTGAAGATTCATTCTTTTCATACATATGTGCCAATCTGGTCACTGTCATCCCACCCCTTAACCTGTTCAAAGTCTCAATTTTTAACTCCAAATGAGGCAATCAGGCACTTTTCTTGACATGAATTTCCCCTTCATACTTGCCATCCATTTGCTACCCATATTGAGGGTGTTGCCGCACGATAAAGAGGACACTGGCGAGCTATAGGTTCTGTAACCAGTTCCCAAAGCGCAGTTCAGGTGTCTACCGAGCCAGATTTAAAAGTTTTTTTTCACCGACCTCCTACACACAAATTTGCGTAAAAATATTTCACGTCAAGTGTGAGTCCACTCTATAAACTTTTTTGAAATTCTATAAAGAATATGACTTAAAGGGCGACATGGTAGCGCATTGGTTATCATTGCTGCTTGGCAGCGCAGGGGCTCTGCGTGCAAATCTGGACCTGGGGTGCTATCTGCGCATTGTGAATGTTCCCTCCATGATGTTGTGGGTTTTTGTCCGGGTGCTTCAGTTTCTTCCCACAGTCCAAAAACACACTGGTGGGTTTCTGGGAAAATCAGCCCTGGTGTGAGTGCATGCGAGCATATCTGTGTGTGTCTTTCTGCCCTGCGTTCATAATGTACCCTGCCTGGGGCCCCTTGCTTGTCATGTCAGGCTGTGACCCTAAATTCGATTAAGAAAATGCAGAAAACGATTGAATGGATACATCTAATTTAATTATTTCGAAGGTTTTACTAAAATCACAATGCAAGGCTAATTTTAAATCAAGGTAAAATGCAAATGCCTGTTAAAACACAAACTTATGTGATTCCTTGTACTGAGGACTTGGGTTTTCAAAACTATCTAGTTTTCCGTGAGGCTGCCATTTTTACAAAAGCTCGCCATGAAGTTTTGTTCGAGCAGTGTGGCGTAACCATCGCAAAAGTATAACAGCACTACAGTAAGTATAACATGACTACTGAAAATATATTTAAACCAATTACTGTACATTGTATATGCTGTATATTTCTATGTCTACAAAATTAACTTTTTGTTCACATAATTGTTTTTGTGCTGGTGTGTTTGTAATAGGACTTTTAGGATCTTATTACACAAAAATAACTAGAGAAAAGGGGAATTTAATTTCTCAGGTTTTGTGTTTGTAATATAAACAGTAATTCAGTACATTCCATGATGGAAAAATGTTCTCACTGCTGTTTGGTGTGGGGAGCTCAAAGGAGCTCTCAACTACAAACTTGAATGCAATGAAATATCAGCATAAAAAAGGCCTGGAAGGAACAGCTTAGAGATCACTTGCTTTCTCTAAGCCATGTTATAGTGAAGTTGACAAAACAGTACAAAATAAGTTAAACAAATCATTTACGGATGTTTTTTTTATAAGGGGTGGTATGGGTTTTACCCCCCATGTTCTGGCCAAATTCCTCCCTGGCTTTTACCAATCATGGGCTCCTAATAATCTCCATCTATGAACTGGCTTCATCACTCTGTTCTCCTCCCCACTGATAACAGATGTGTGTTGAGTGTACTGGTGCACGATGGGTGTCGTCGCATCATCCAGGTGGATGCTGCACACTGGTGGTGGTGGAGGGGAGTCCCCATTACCTGCGAAGCGCTTTGAGTGGAGAGTCCAGAAAAGCTACATTAAGTGTAAGGAATTATTATAAAAAGTATTATGAATGCAATGTTTAACAGTGTCTATAAAAACAGAAACCTGGCAAAACAAATTATATAAAGGCTTCACATTATATATAGGCTACTGTATATAATCCAAAAATGATTAAGTAGTCTTATCTTTTTTTTTTTTACAAAAAGCATGCAACTTCAGTAAAGTCAAACAATCAAAATACTTGTAGAAACCTCTACTTCTTCTAATCATAATGTGGTAATAATGTGAACCTAACTTTGTCATATAGAGTGCTTATTTTGAATGATATTCTTCCCTGCAAATCCTGTTCTGCCCTCTAGTGGCTGCAGCTTAACATAGCCACTCTCCCTGTCTAATGCAACCATCTGCTGATCAGCGTGGGTAACTTGAGGCTTCCCACCAAGCGCGACACATTTGACAATCAGTGCTTCTCAATTATAAACAGGAGCTCGTACTACCTCCACCATAGCCGACGTCAGTCTACATTCTACCACACATCATAGCTTTTAAACCTTTTCTCATTACAGTACATCAAGACCACAACCTATCAACTCGCGTTAGCTGCAACAAAGAAGATGGTATCCTGCTATCCCTTGCAGTCTGCAAATATACACGTACAATCATTACATTCGGTAGCGCGCTTTAATTGAAGATTGTTTGGGTTAACATTAAAAATGTACACCTGCTATGCAGAGCTCCAGCAACCCCTGCATTGAGTAAAGTGGTTAGAAAATCGATGGATGGATGCTATACAGAGCTACTGAGACCCAACCATGGACATCTGGACAAAGATAAACTCCTGTCTCACTGCACATACATTATACTTGTGGTAACAAGGATCAGGCTTTCTACGGTATAGCTACAGTACAGAACGATACAGTGTTCTTTGCTGTGGGACTGTTGCAATTACATCTTTTTAATTAAATGTAACATGCATTCCATTTTGCATGATTTCAGTCATACTTTCACTCGAAAAACTCTGAACATCTATTCATTCAAGAGTATTACACACTCTGTTTATACAATCTATTCCCAAGAAGGATACTGACATTATACAATTTGCTCAATTTCCACAATCGAGTCCAATCATAACAAGGTCTGCAGATTTTTTTAATTGAGCCAGGATGACTTCTCTATTTTTTGCTTCCCTAAGTGAGTCCAGCAACCCTAAAGCCGTCATCAACATCCTGGTACAGAAGCTGATAAAAAAAAAATGAAAACAAGGGAGCTCCTGACACTCCAAATTGGAAAATAAGATGTGCTGTTTTTGTAACATCTGATTAGGACCTTATGCGATGGCAGCTGAAGACGGAACAAAATTGGGTCCAAATGTACAGTGTCGTGTCACAACAGGCATCTACCCTGGACTGTGTGTGTTCACTTTAATTCTCTCCCACAACCTACCGCAAACCCTTGGTGGGAATGTCATTGTCATCTGCATAAGATTACTATAATCACATTACTGCCTGGTTTGGACTCTTGTTCAAAACATGGTTTTAACCTTTTCTTTCTTTCCCAGACCGAGATACTAAGGTTTTTGACACTGGTTCCCAGTCAACAGCTGATGAGAGCTGACCAGCGTGAAATATTAATAAGACTAATTTTACCTTAAAAAAATCAAATCTATTAAAGCTAGAAGCTTTCCAAGGCCCGTATACTACAGTTTTTGCCGTTTGTTCATGTCGGCCAACAGCTGATGAGAACTGATAAGCATGAAATATTAATAAGAATTTGTTACCTTGAAAACATAAAATGTGTTAAAGTTAGAAGAGTCTTCAGGTCAAGATGGACAAGGGGAACTAAAAGCAAGGTTCACTTAACTAAATGCACTTATTTAGCCCTTTCCTTAGATCTATGGGTTTTATGCAAAATTAATCACTAGGATATGTGTTTGTGATGGCTAGGCTTAAAGTTAAATGTAAAGCCTGAAAATCATCTCACCACAGTCTTGTTAACATTGTAACAGTAAGAGGACACAAATAGGATTATATAGTAAAATGGAACATACCACTACATCTCTGAAGTCTTTCATTTTTCTAGAAAAAAAAACGAAAGCGGCTTTATTCAATCTAGAAAAATGCTGTTCTTTTCAGCCTAAAGGTCTGCTGCACTTAAGTGGTTTTGCTGTGTGTTCTTTATTGGTCCTCAGCACGCTAGACATTTTTCCAAAGGCTCTTTGATTACACACAATTATTACCATCTGATGTACAGAAACATTGTAACTCACACTTTGTCAAATGTCGGAAGGGGGGCGACTTTTAAATATAGTCCGATGTTTTGCATGATCGTAATCTTTCTGAATACAAGCATCGCTTGCAGAGAAACCTACTTTCAGTATACACTGAAAGATCTACTATAGATTGAGATTAAATTTGCTATAAAAAACACAAAGGATAGGTTCAATTGAACCTCATCTGCTTCGATGGTTAATTTTAATGCTGACTCCTGCCAAATCTTTACAAATCTTTGCAATGGTCAGAATTACAGAAGAACTCAAAGCCTCAGGAGGGTCAAGTCTCTGAACCTACTAATGTAGGAAGTGGTCATTTTCAAATCCCACGTACTTCACAAAAGAGAGAATTACAAGGCAAAGCTACTGTAGAGCAGGCCACACAGATTTTAAGTGGAAAACCTCCACAGATTGAAGTACCATGTGTTAGTCACTAAGAAAACCATCAAACATGCTCGACATTCAGATGTGGAACTGTGGGCCTGGCAGTTGTGGGGGCTCCATATTTAGCATAATTACTGTAGACAATTCGCTGCCAGCAGTACTCCTGGCTGTTCTTCCCCAGAGATCTCCTGAGAACGTTTTATTTAGCACAAACAGAAGACAGCCACTAAGTGGGAGGCCACTGGGTCTGTCCATACAGACAAAGCGAACTAACTATAGTAAAAAGCCTAGCAATACGAAACACAATATCTTGGTTATTGAATGGGATTTTTGTTAAAGATCTTTTTTAGATAAATGTTTGGGATACAAGTTTTTACATCTTTTTAAGGTTATGGGACTGTCTGTTGCCAACCACCTACGGTAATGAGCAGCAGCCATGATGAGAGCAAAGCACTGTACTGCTTGGGGAGACACTGCACAGCAACAGTCTACAGACTGTGACCACCCACACTATGGGAAGAACAGTGATTAAAAGAAATCTAAGATCTCACTTCTGCCAACACTGTCTACTCAACACAGTAATTATAATATTAACAGGCTCATCTTAATCTGTTGCATGTGCTCTGGCATGTCAGCACTTCCAGTCAACAAGCACAAAATAGAAAGTCATCTTTAATTTTGGACTGTCAGGGTATTGATGACAACAGTTAAATTAAGCATTTCGGAAAAAACACATATATATATATACTTAGTTTAAAAATGTGCAGGTTTTATAGTAGAATGTTTAATTCCGTTTAAAAAAAAGATTTCATAAACTGTGACAAAATTTCGTACGTTTGATTTGTGGCATTTGCCTGATCTTTAAAACAGGTCAAAAATGATTTTAAAAAAAATATTTGAATGATGTTAACAAGCATCTAGAATCATGGAAAATTCAGAGAGTTAAAACAGCATCTGGGATAAAAGTTCCAATTTAAAATATGCTTCCAAAAACAAATGCAAAGGTTGAAATGACTTTTCATGCATTAAGGCAAAAGCACAGCCATGCATTTAATGCTCGTTTAAGTGCACTCTTACGGAGCTGAAGTGCTTTCGTGGTCTTTAACAGGCTACCCTTGGCCTCCTAGTTATCTAAGAAATATTACAGTAGTTTTTTAAAACAATAAAGTTACTATTTAAAAATGAAAAACATTTACTAAAATCAAAGCTCAAAGGAGTTTCTAGATAAGATTCACTCTTATAAAAGTACCCAGGCCTTAGCAAGAGATGCAAAAAGAAAGGCTTGGTAAAAGATGCCTTTGGTAAAAGTAAGTCAACTGCATGATACAAAGGAGTTTTCTTTGGTAAGTACAGTATTCATGACAGTGAAGCAACAGGATTTTGATGCAATCTAAAGTTAAATGTATCTAGGGATATTTCTGAGAGAATGAGATAACTTGAGAACAGCACAGATTATAACCACTTACTTAAGGGCATGTAATGCAAGATTCCCGTCTTCTGTGAAGGCTTGTTTACTTTTAATTTTTCTAACAGACTCCTTAAATCAATGTATTTCTAAAAAACAATTTTCCACAGCCTCCCCACCCCGATTCTCCTCCCTAATAATAAAACATCTGCCCTAAAACATCTGGCAGATTAAGGGTTTACTATAAAATAATTATTTTAATTAAAAGGCTGCATTATTAGACAAAAATAATGAAATAATACACTCTTATTTTATTAATCTGGCAATAGCCCGGCCTGTAAAGATTTCATGTTGATGATCATAAACCATCTGGTTGCTTTTGTAATCTTTACAATTTTGAAACACTACTCTTTTTTGCACATTATTATTTGTTTTTAGCTCTACCTGATTCACTATACTCTGTTAAAACATGAAAAAAGAGCACACAAAATTCAGGAGTACTCCCACAACCCTCGTTTTTAAATGCACATTTCCACGTGTGTCCTCTGGTTTGTGCTTTATTGCTGATTCTGAAGAAGTCCTTAGGTTGAGGAATATTAAAATCCGGTTAAATTGTAGTCTCCTCTGTTCAGATACAATTTGTAGTCTTTGAGCCTGACAGTGTAGGAGTGCATCTGATCACTCTTGTCTGGACTGACTCAAGAGCAGAAGTGTTGTCTTTGTAACACTGTGATCAATATTGTACAAACAATTCTAAATGAGAGTTTACTACTATCAATTAAAATTTTTAACTTGAATATTAATTGAAGGCTCCTTATCAAAAGGTCTTTTCCTTAACAACTGGACCACCTGGCCTCCTAAGAGTGCATCTGTGCCAGTTTCAGGTTGTCGGTTCAACCTTTGCTGGTTAGGAAGGGACTAGCTGCTTGGTTTTCAGCCCTCTGCATCAGCCAAACTCCCAAGCTGCAGGTGAGGCCGATACCTTTGCTTTAACAAGTCAGCGAAAGAACAATGTGACTGTAATATCTCACCAGCCTTTTTTTTCCCCCCTGGGATATTTCACAAGGTGAGACAACAATGCAGAGAAACCAGAATTTGTAAAAAAAAAAACATGATTCAGAGGACTTAAATACACAAATAACACAAGCATTTTATGGAAAAATGGGAAAAGGTGTAGGACACTGTAAACTGTGTTCTCTGAATTAATTGAGACAATACAATTAAATACTTGCTAGTAAAGAGTTTGCCAAAACCCTACAATAATAGCCCAGACTTGGAAGCAGGCACTGTAATTGGAAACAAGTCCGTTTTGGTTTATTCTCATACCCAGAGCCAGTCGTTGGCCTTCAGTTCTACGGTATTCTGAGGTTCGGCACTATATAGACACCATAAACACTGCAGCAGCGTCCTCTGGCTCTCTTCTAGCAACAGAAACAAAAGACACAATTGTTTCAGACTTCAGTGTGTAAATTAAAATGATTATCACATTAAATGAACTCACCAATTGCTGTTACACTCTATGCACCCACTTTTCGACAAATGGCAGAATTTCAAGCATTTTTATAGCCTACAGTGTTGACACGTTTACACTAATGAAGGTCATTCGTAGCTCTTTTGGCAGAAGAATTTTGTTTACTCAGGTAGGCAAAGCAGAGTCTGGGATGAGTTGGACAGGCTTATACAACTTTTCCTTCAAATCATCCACTGTACTGCATCTGTACTGCAGTTCTGAAATATTTTAATTATGGAATTAAGTTTGTTTTTTTCCCCAATAGGGAACACCATCCAACCCTATCTTCCAATGACAACCAGATGCTGCAGTTTTATATGCTACTGTTAATCGATTTTTTTAAAGCCTGCACTGCAATGAATTCTGTGAAGGATTCTGTGGAAAGCAAAATAGAATAAAAACAAAGTCAAATTCAAAGCAGTTAGATAGGAGCTTTCCAATCCAATTAGCAATGGACAACCGTCACACAGTATCTAAATGTTGCCTCAGAGGGCAAAGTGCATGAGCATATGGCAGCATTGTCTCGCTGTCCGAGATGAGAAACAAGCTCAGAAAAAGTTGCAGGGTAATAAATTTACCATCCGCTATTACATATGGATTCCAACAGAGTCTTCCAAACAACTGGCCCACCAGGGGAAACGTTCTCATGGCCACAGTGGTATTCTGAAATGACAAAAGCAGTCCCAAAAGAGGGGGAATAAGCACTCAGAGCAAACAATAACTTTACTGTCTGGGGAGGGGTGTTCATGCAGTTTATAGGTTCAGTTAAAGGTTTGGAGTTTTTTAACAGGGCGGTTAAGGGGGGGTGCTGTTTTTCCCCTCATGATAACAAAGCGACACATTGTTCTGTGAGGATTTCAAGACTTACTTGCAGTAATTAAAACAAAGAAAAGCTTCAAGGCAACAAAAATAACTGCAACAATTTTACATACGCTGGTTTTAATTAAAGCAACGTGTAGTTCTTTAAAATAATATTTGTTTTTCTTCGGCAAGAGCCTAACTTTCCTGAGGCACAGTTTTTCGACAAAGGGTCATGACAAGAGTATTTAAGACACCCAACCAGAGAGGTCTTTGGGATTTATCCATTTGGCTTTGAAATGACTGAAAATCAAACCATCTATTAAATTTTGCAGACCAGCAGGAAGGGAAAGGACGTCTAATGAACTTTTGGCTCACTTTTTTCAGATTACTTTTTCCATTAAGCAATGCATTTCCTACCAGGGATATTTTCAAGTGTGAGGGCTATTACTATTACAATATTATGACTAACATGACAACTATCCTGCCCAAAAGTAATGGACAGCCAATTACATGTATTTATTCAGAAAACCTTCAGAAACAGGTTCTCTCAAACAGAATATGCACACGGCTCCAATTTAGTGCTAGATTAAAACGTCTGTGCATTACACAAAGGAGAAAGAATGTAAATCTAGATAAGCTCCCTATTCCACTATTTTCCAAGAAGGAATAATGCTTTCTAAAATGGCATCGGAGTACATATGCAAAAAAGCTTGTGTCAACTTATTTCTATGGCATCCTGCATAGCATTCAACACATAAATGTCCCTTTTCTCCAGGCTCTGCAGGTAAAAAAAAATACGTATTTATAATTAAACACCTCCCATAAGGAGTTTCAGCAAAAAGGAATCTTTTTTAATCCATGTTTAGGGGTGTTATTTGCACAATATTTGGGTTATACACACTTAACACGAAAGTCAAAAGGAACTCTTAACTCCATGTAAGACCCTAAAATCCTATCAATCTTTCATGAATATCCCATATGATAAAACACTGCAAATACAACAGAAACAATAGAATATAATAATAGCTCAACTAAAATCCTCAATTCAGTCAAGTCCTTTCTAAAACCTGTTGAAGTATAATTGAGATGTCCCCTAGTAGAACTTCTAATAATGTCAACAGGTTTGCTTGTGCTTGCAACTACGAAAATGACTACATCTTGCAGGCCTCATAACGACCCAATTAAAACCCTGATGACTGAAATCCAGTTTTTCTTTCAGAAGGGCCAGGAACTGAGGCTGCTTGATTGGATAAGACATCTGGTGTAACATGGTGACCAAAGCAGAAAAAAGGACTCCTTTCACAATAAATCAAGATTACAGGAGAAGCATTCCTTTTGATGCTCCCTCCAATTTGCTCCGCTTCCAGAACTACATTAAAATAATGGATAAACTCTCTGAGGTGTTTTTCATTTACTTATTCAATCTAGGGCCTTGCTGTCTGTCTTGCTTTCACAACTCCAGCAAACATTGGTAACTCCCGTTAAAAGCTATCTCACCATGGTCTGCAACTTCTGGCAAAGCTGCTGCAGAAACGTCCTGAGCTTCTGCAGGTGCAGGCAAACGTCTTGCTGGGATGTGAAGGTCGTGGCCTGGCCCCATTCCACTGCCTTGTCAAGCCAGAACTCAATCAGATCTTCACTGGGGGAACTTCTCTGGGCCATAATGTAGGAAGTCTCATATGGAAACACGGACACTCCCAAACAAGACAGAGGGGACGGCGGTTTCAGGAACTGCAAAGCACAAAAAGAAATGAATGGAACTGCTTCTGTTCCATTGGCAGGAGAAAAACTGTTAAACGGTTGCTAAAAATGAACAGGGTGAAAAAAAAAATAATGAACCTTTTGTGCCAAAGCTACAGTGACTGAGTTGTAATCAGAAAATTGCTGTTAAATGTGCTGCCCAGCTGGGGCTCAAATTTTTACCATCTGAATTTGTCATCACCAGTATTTCATTAGTTGAGCTGTAAAACAGCTTTTTTTATATATATGGCACTGTGCGCAATAAAGTCTCAGGGCTCGAATTTAACTTTTAGCACCTCCTCACTCTTAGTTGAGAAGTATTTCTAACAAATTAACATCATTAACAGTCAGGCAGCATCTGTAGAAATTCTAGCTGTTTAGCCCATGCAGGGATAAAGTACCAGCTCCGAAATTTAAAACAAATGTACTTAACAATAAAAATTCTAGAAAAAAAAACTTTTTTGGGGGAAAAAACAGCGTCAGACACCAAAAATTTAATTTTCTCAAACTCACAGAATTAAAAAAAAACTGTAAATCTTGTAATTCGTTGTTCACACTGCAATGTTTTTAAACTTAATTATGGGTCTACACCAGACACAAAGCAGTCATTATTTAATCATCTGTTTACAAGAACCGTTTAATGTCTTGCCATGATCTCCAGTGGAAAGTCCCATGACGGCACATATTCAAAACAGAAAAGATAATTTATTTCTTGTTAGGAAAAAAAAAAGCTAAAACAAAAATTCAATATGCCAAACTGAGATGAGAAACCCTCTTTGTTCTCAAATGTTTGACTCCAATTCCCTGAAGCGCAGGATTTTTAGAACCTTAAGATATGTTTTAAATAGGATTTAGAATTGCGCCGGTAACTACAACCTCAGGTTTGGAAAATGCTGGGACTTTTATGTAAAGAGTTAACAGCAGATGTGGTGGTGTGCAAGCTCAAAAAACAAGAGGCTGAACTAGGTTCCTCAGATTTGTTCGGGACCGGTCTTCTGTTAGACCAAGTGAGCAGAGGCCTGAAGGGCGTTACTGTCCAGTAAAAAGGCTTGCTCCGATGCGTTCACAGCTCTGCACCGTACTGCGCCCGTCTCGATCGCTCCTGCTGCCCGCAGAGGCGGTGCCGGACCCCCACCGAACGCCCTGCCTGTTGCTTCTGTCAAGGCTGTTTTTGCTGGGGTCCCAGAGACTCGACTGCTCCCGCGCCCCCATGCCGAAACGAGGCCCCGGTTCCCTGCTCCCTCCCTCTGGGCGGCCTGGTACCTGTGGATTTTTTTGTGGAGCTCTACCTGATTCCCTACACTGTGTTAAAAAATGGAAAAAAAAAAAAAGAGCACACAAAATTCAGTGCACTCCCACAACCCTGTGTAAAAACCTTGTTCTCGTTTTCAAATGCACATTTCCATGCGTGTCCTCTGGTTTGTGCTTTATTGCCGATTCTGAAGAAGTCCTTCAGGTTGAGGATTCTGAATATTAAAATCCGGTTAAATTGTAGTCTCCTCTGTTCAGATACAATTTGTAGTCTTTGAGCCTGTCAGTGTAGGAGTGCATCTGATCACTCTTGTCTGGACTGACTCAAGAGCAGAAGTATTGTCTTTGTAACACTGTGATCAATATTGTACAAACAATTCTAAATGAGAGTTTACTACTATCAATTAAAATTTTTAACTTGAATATTAATTGAAGGCTCCTTATCAAAAGGTCTTTTCCTTAACAACTGGACCACCTGGCCTCCTAAGAGTGCATCTGTGCCAGTTTCAGGTTGTCGGTTCAACCTTTGCTGGTTAGGAAGGGACTAGCTGCTTGGTTTTCAGCCCTCTGCGTCAGCCAGCTGCAGGTGAGGCCAGTACCTTTGCTTTAACAAGTCAGCGAAAGAGAAATGTGGCTGCGTAAACAGAGGCCCTGCCAGCTCTCCGCCAAGCTTCCCACATCCCTCTCATTCAGAAAGCGCCAGTCTTGGAGGGGTCTCTTCAAGCAAGGCTGGACTTTGAACACAACACAGGGATCTGAATATAACAGGGGAAATGAAATCCAGCTTTGCTGCACCAACAAACACAGATTGTTTATGGACACCCAGCAGGTTCCTGCACACCGTGATGGTGCGGCTTTCATTCGGATTGCCTGGACAATTTGTTTCTTTTGCAAAGGGCGCATTTTCCACGTTAAAATATTTCCATGCCTGGCATGGCAGGAAGACTGCTGGTTCTTTGAGAAGTGGGCCCACACCATTTTCTTTCCTAAAAAGTATTCATTCTTTGAATTATTATTCAACTATTTTAAACATTCTCGGGTCTAAAACACAAAATGAATTCGGACCCGAGAATATCAAAAGTGAACATTTTATAAGCATGCCATATTTTGGCAAAACACTGAATGTGAAATAAACTTGATATTTTCCGATCAAATCTCTTCTCAATCTGCTTTGTTAAACTGAAGGGACTGAGCCCCCTTTATCTCTCCATGTATATAAATCTGTTGATCGTCTTTGAACTGTTTCTGACTTTCTTTCTAGTGAAATGGTGACCAGAATTAAACTCAATATTCTAAATGAGTTCTTACTGCTGTGTAAAGACAGAGTATAACCTCCCTCAATTTAAATTCCACACTTTTCACTACTTTATACCCAAGCACTCTATATTTTTATTGCTGCTCCATACTGCTTTAATAAGGACCTATAAGACTCTGCATAAACACCAAAATCCCCTGCATGCACAACGTCCTGCAGTTCTGAACCCCTCATGAAATATGTAGAGTGCAAGTTCCTATCTGCACATCCACCTTCTAGTCCCTTTGTCCAGGAAAGGCCAGTGCGC